GACCAAGCCCTGAATTTACCCTAAAATGTTAGGTATGAGTTGTTATATACGTGAATTGGTTTCTGAAAATCAGAAACCAATTCCTCCCAAATTCCCTCTCCCAACCTCAACTTCCGACGACGATCCCGACGCCGTCCGAATTCCGATCGTCATTTTAAAACCACCATCGTGTTCATCATAGAGCGAGGAACAAACCCTTCAATTTAATTGAAGCGAAACGCTGCCAAACGTCGTGAATTTCAAGTCAAAGCATCGACGTTTTTTTAAGCTCAATCGCTTAGAAAATCCTAAATTCATCGTCGATCGTTGCTCCGTTTACGACACCTCCCGCACCATCGTGTTCCTTGTGCCGTTCCGAGTCCGCCGGTGTCATCCTCGATCTCCGTTGACGGCGGCGTGTGAGGAGGTGGATCAGTCAAAGATTCGGCCAAGTCGAAATCGAGCTCTCCGCCGTTCAAAATTTTGAACCGATCTTTGTAAGTATTTCGAAATCGCTCAAAATAATTTTTAGAAATTTTTTCGTTATTTTTAGAGCCCCGGAGGACATCGCACGTGTCACACGCGCCGCCGCAGGCGAGTGAACGCTGGAAACCGGTTTTGAACCGGTTTGACCGGTCACGACCCATTTACCCGTTGACCCAACCCGACCGTTGACCCGACCCGACCCGTTGACCTGACCCGTTGACCGTTGACCGATGTTATTTTGGGAATTAATTCGATTTAGTGCTATTCGGGGAATTAATTCGAAATGGGTGCTATTTTGGTAATTTTTTTAAAAAAGGTGATATTATGGGAATTAATTCAAAATTGGTGCTATTTTGGGAATTAATTCGAAAAGGGTGCTATTTTGGTAATTATTTTAAAAAAAGTGCTATTTGTGTAAAATGTTTGACAGTTTGTTGACCTCCTTTGACCAGAACTTTGACCGGCTTTGACCAGCTATTAAACGACCTTTGTTTTCGACCAAGAATACCTATTCTGATAGTTTTCGACGTCCCGAATCCGTTTTTGAGGTCCGTTTTGCTAAATTCAAATCCGAAAGTCTCCAAATCGTCAGTCAACCCCGTTGACTTTAACTTTGACCAAGAATTCGAAATTTTGGAAGGTCATACTTTATATTTTTTGACGTCCTGAATTTGATTCCGAAGTCCGTTTTGCCAAATTCTGACCCGAAATTCCCAAATCGAGCTTGTAAACCCAAAAGGCTTAATATTTTAATATTTTGATTATTTAAATGAGATTTGGTCAAGGATTTATTCAATAAAATATTTTATGAAAGTACTCGTGTTTCACCTGAACAATGATCAATTAGGTCCGGTATTATCCGTTCGTTAGATCAGCCTGAACCGCGTACTACGAGAATTACCCGTAGGTTTCCGTATATTATTTAAATAATATTTAGATTATTTATATTAGGATTCCAATATGGATTTTTCCAATTCGTAGGATCTAGCGCTGCAGCAAAACGTGATCGACAGACCCAGTAATAGGCTTCCCTATCTGATTTCTCAGACTGTTACAGGTGTATTTCCCGACAGTGTTAATTATTTCTGTTTTAAAATATACATCTGAACATTATGTATATGACATCTGATTTGCCACATATTTCTGATATGATTTCTGGTTACGGTATTTTATATTGATTTTCTAAATATTGAATATTCGATATCTGAAATTCTGTATACTACTGACTTGTCTTCTGATTTCCGTATTTCTGTATATTATTGTTAAGCATGAACACTTTTATGTTTTAAAGATTTAATCATTGTTTTCATTCAAATACATTCATGAACATCTCCATCATTGGGGGTATTGTTGAAGGAAGTATATCAGCAGGTTCATCGACTTTGTGCTCAGAGCCTTATTTGTTGTGTGGGCTGGGTGTATGGTTCTGGGGAACCTACACATTCTGTTGTGATGGGCTGGGGGTAGCGTTCATATTTTTTTTAACGACATGATTGCATAAACCGACTTTACTGGAATATTTTTATCAATATGTTTTTATATACACTGTATGGAACACGCTGGGCTTTTTAGCTCATTCTGTAGTTTTTACCCTTTTTCAGATAACATCAGACCATAAGCTAGCAGATTTGGCATCAGGATAAATCAACTACTTTATTTTGTACGAACATATATTTCTATATGTTTTTCGGTTATGTTTGGTGACATGTAATTTATTATCGTTTTAGACATATCTGTATTATTAATATTATGTTTTATATTATATTTAACGTTCTATAAGTGATAAAAAAAACCTCTGAATGGGATATGTGACCCGCTTAGGTTTGGGTCTATCTTACAGACCGGGTCTGGGGGGTTACAATAACAATGGCGAGCAGGATTGTTTGGGTCAAAGAACCGGACTGTATACCGGCCCACAGGCCGACCCCTTTCAACCGTAGCCAGAAGGCGAGGGTGGCAGCGACAGGGATTCCGACAAGATAGAATGCTGCCAGGTTAACATAAGCTCCTATATGCTGCCATCCACATCCCCTTGCAACACCTAATCCAAGCATGTAACCATTTATAAGACTACCACTATAACATTCATCTCCTTGGAAATATATTAATTCTTCACCATGAAGATAACGAGTTTAAGTGTTTAACCTGTAAGAACCCCCTGTAAGCTGTCAAGAATAACAGACACACAAACCAAAGGAGCCATGGCTGTCACATAATCCACCACTTCCTTGTCATTGCTGTAAACATAACCAAAAACGTGTCGGCTTGCAAACAGGGATCAAGACACTATAAGGGTCTCTAAAACTGCAAGAGCCATACCAGCATACACCGCTACATGTGCTGCTTGGGGGTTCCCTGCTCCTAGTTCATTCGAAACTCTAGTACTATATATACGAATCGAAAAATGATTCTTGATTAAATTAACTTGGTTTGAAAAAGTTGCAACTTTAGTCGGTAAAGAATTAAAATGTATGTGCATTCAAATCAGAACATACCTTGCTGCTGCACCAAGTCCATATGGTATTGCATAAAGTGTTGATATGGTGTTGAAACTGCTTGGGTAAGTAGAAAAACTTATTAGTAGAATAATTACAATATGATGCATCGATCCAAAACAAAACATACCACACAGACAGGACTGATGTTTCCAGCTGAGGATTTGGTAAAAGGCCAGAAAGCAGGATAAGTAGCTCAAATGACCACCATTCAAGGCTGCAATTGTTTGAACTAGGAACACATTAAGGAGCTTCCACAGCATAGACATATATATTAAGGTGAGAAGAACAGGAGATAACATACCAAATCATAACGGCAGAAGGGATAACGAATCGAAAGAACTCCGTAATTCCTTGGAATAATTCCATCATAACGGGGACACGAGTTTTTGTACAGGTGGGAGAGTGCCACATGTAAAGTGCAAGGAAAATCACATTCAACCAGTTTGAGATGCTAAAGGCTAATGATCCTCCTATACTTTCTAACCCAAACTTGAAGACCAGAGCCCAACATAGAGGTATATGAACTAAAAGACTGATACAAGAGCATATGAGAAAGGGAGTGATCAAACTTTGTGTCTGAAAGTAGCGAACAAGTGGTTGAAAAGCAGCATAGGCGAATAGTGCCGGGATAAGCCACCGAACGAATTTACCGGCTTCGTGTGAGATTAAGGGATCTTGACCAATGAAAACAAGCAGCCTTCCAATGTATAGCCATAGGAGCGACAGAGGGATGCATACTAAAATCAAACAAAATATAGCAGTGTAGGTATGGATTCCCACTTTTCTTTACTGTTGAGCTCCATAAGACTGTCCACACAATGTTTCCAATGCACAAGCCATTCCTAGCTGGTAATCACATTCAAATTTCAAAATTTAGTAGGTTGAAATTCTATAAGCAGATAGTAATAGTAGTGACAATTACTGCCATTAGCATCCAAGTCTTGCTAGTGCAGATTTAGCAGACAAAACTGAACTGATGCTCGCACTTTAGCCAGTTGAAAAGTGTTCAGTCATATGTTCATTGCACAATGCTAAAATCTTAATTGGGCAACTTAAGTCCAACAGGTCCAAAAATATTAAGTATACATTTGTTTGATTGTTTAAATCATTTTATACTATATAAAGTAAAGAATCTAAAAGAAAATAATTTTTTATTATTATCGTTGCCGTCATCGAGAAGAAGGTGTCGGTATTATATTGACAAAGATGTTTTATGCATAAAACAAACATACCATAAATAAAAACTTACAAATATATTAAAAAATGTACAGGAAAAGGAAGTGGTATAAATAAAAAACTTACAAATAAAAAACAAACATACCACAGAAAAACAATATCAAATGGCGGCATTAATTTCCACGTGCTAATATAATATTAACACTTGATAAAGTAAGTGGAAGCAAAATGCAAATTTGACTTACAAGAAAACTGAAGCCGGTGACCCCGGCGAGAGATATGGCAATGTTAGAGCTAGAGAGAGCAAGCTCACCCAGATGACCCACCATCATCTTCGATACAACTTGCAAGAGGTACTGCGATATGGTCACAGCCACCATAGGTCCCGCAAGGTAACCCACCCTTTTTGTTTCTTCAACAACAGCAGCCCATGTTATTGACCGCCGGTTAATTTTCTCGTCTTTCTCTAATTTGGGTATTAAACTCTCTTCCATGCTCTTCTTCTTCGGTTTGTCTTCTCTTCAAAGTTTGAAATTTGAAAAGCCTCCTCCTTCGGTTGCGGAAAGGGACAGACGCAATATAGAAAGATGACAGAGTGTAGGGTTTGTTTGAATTTACAAATTCAGAAAAAAAAAATACGAGGCCCAACTTTCTATATAAAGTACAGTTTTTAATTTTTGGGGAAAGAAAATGAGAAAGGTCCTACCCGGAGTCGAACCTAGGTCCAGAGTGCGGACCACTACTCCATAGAACCAACATATAAAGTAATAAGGTTAAAAAATTATTGCGAAAATATTAAAAGATTACCATTTTAAGTTGCATTACAAAAAACATTTATCAACCAACCGCGGTACTACCCTATTTATCAACCAACCGCAGCACTAGTGGCAAGCTCCTCGAAAGCTTCTTCGTCACCGGCCTCTGGTAGATACCCAGCTCGTTTCATCTGTTTAATGAGTGTGTTCAAGACTGAATAGATTGCCTTCCTCTGAGGATGTCTCTTATCTTTCACCATGAAAACACTTACACGACCCTGTACCTCAATCCAGCTACAACCAGGTTGCTTTATTACTCCCCGTTTCCGCATTAACCTCCTTACTCTAACAACATCTCCCCATCTCCCAAGCTCCGCATACATGTTCGAGAGAAGAACGTAAGGTCCGGAGTTGCTAGGATCGATTTCTAAAATCTTCTCCGCTACATACTTTCCTAAAGTAATATCCCGATGTACTTTACAAGCAGCGAGAAGAGATCCCCATACAACAGCATCAGGCTTCATCGGCATTGTCTCTATTAAATTCTTTGCTTCGTTGAGGCAACCAGCTCGACCAAGTAAATCAACCATGCATGTATAATGGTCCTTCAATGGTACCAAATCAAGGTCCCTACTCATAGAGGAGAAATGATGTCGCCCCTCTTCAACTAACCCAGAATGACTACAAGCACAAAGAACACCAATCATAGTGACATGATCCGGTTTCTCGCCGGATGCCAACATATTCTTGAACAACTCGAGAGCCTTCTTCCCATAACCATTTTGTGCATATCCTACTATCATGGCATTCCATGATACCCAGTCCCTTTCCATTATAGTTTTGAAGACCTGATTAGCATCTTCAATCGATCCACATTTCATGTACATGTCTATAAGAGAGTTGCCAACAAAAATATCAGAATCTTCTCCAAATTGAAAGTGAAAACCATGCTTCAAAACGTGTGTGTGTGCCTGCCTTCCCAGCTGCAAATCAGCGAGATTAGCACAGGCATTCAGTAGATTGCCAAAAGTGTAATGAGTTGGGCAAACAGATTCTCTCTTTAAGAGGCAAAAAAGCCTCAGAGCCTCTTCATCCTCCCCATTTTGTGTATAACCAGCAATTAACGCATTCCAGGATACTATGTTCCTCTCCATCATCTTCGCAAACATTATTCTTGCAGTTCTCACACTTGCTCCCTTCACATACCCACTTACCATTGAGGTCTCGGACACTACATTCCTAACTGGCATCCTATCGAAAAGGAATCTTGCTTCTTTGATTTTATTGCATTTTGCATACATATCAACCAACGCATTGCCCAAGACAAGATCTTCCCTCAACTTATTGCATTTCACAACACGAGCATGAATCTGCTTGCCTTCCTTGATCGTTGACAAGGTAGCACAAGCACTAACAACGCTGGCAAATGTTAGCTCATCTGGGTCAATTCCACAATCCATCATCCTCAAGAACACCTGAAGAGCTGCACCAGCTGGACCATTTTGTTCATAACAAGTGATCAAACTATTCCAAGAAACTCTATTCCTCTCGCTCATATCATCGAAAGCTCTCTGGCCACAGCTGACATTACCACATTTTCCATACATATCAACAAGAGCCGAGCCCATATAAACATTGGAAAAGAACCTAGTTTTCGATATAAAAGCATGGATTTGGGAACCGAGTTTAATGTCCTTCAACCCAGAACAAGCGCTAAGAGCACTGCCAAACGAGTACTCGTTAAGCACAAAGTCCTCTCTATGCATCCCAACAAAATAGTGAAGAGCTTCCTCGAATCTATCTTGCTGAGCAAACCCAGAAATGATCGAATTCCAAGAGCACTGATCATGCTCAGGCATCGAATCAAAAATCCCCGCTGCATCATCAACGTAACCTAACTTCGTCAATACAGATATGACCGAGTTCCAAGAAAAAATGTTTCTTTGAGGCATTTTGTCGAACACATTCCGGGAATCCTCCAAGGAGCCACATTTTCCATAAGCATCGATTAGTCTGTTCAGGATAAAAATCTCTGACGCAAAATTAGATTTGATGATCCGTACATGTAGGCGACGTACATCAATGAGAGATTTGGATTCAATATAGGAATCCAAGAGCTTCGCAAAAGGAGAAGAGTCGGGAAGTGAAAGATCACCCACAATTTGTTTAAGCAATCCACGTTTCGCCATTCCATTATCCTTGAACAAACGAAGTTGTTGGGCATTGCTCTTTCGCTATGGTTTTTGCATCTTCCTTAGCATTTTGCTATGGTTTTTGTTATATTTTTTTCTATCTATGAAAAAGATTCCAATGACTATAACGTGTCAACTCGCCGACAACGAGATGTAGTGAGTCGAGAGCCGGATTTTAATGCCTGAGCAACAGTGGCATTTGAAATGGGATTAGACGGTGCAAGTTTTATCTTCGGTAGAAATGGCCGCCACAAAGGACTAGTTTGCATTAGCACTGCGGTAGGTTGGGGTGTTGGACATCTTGTAGTAATTGAATTCAAATATGTAAATATATTTAAATTCGATTTTTTTAATTGGAGTGTTGCTATATTTTAATTAATTAAATTATTCATTAAATATTTAATTTGTTAAAAAATTGTTAAAAAATTAGTAAGTATTAATATTCTCTTTTCCCCAATTTTGCAAAGAAAATTGACTTTTTTAAACTAAATGTTATTTAAATTTATGAAATAAATATACACAAATATTTGAATTCACAGCACACATTACCATCTTAAGACTAATAGTAATATTTCTTTTAACATTAAAAATGCTTTAATGAAAAAGTATGTCCCAATCATTACATGACATATAAAACATTTTTTAATTTAAATATTTAAAATTCCTAACCTTTTTTTTAAATGCCTCATTTCTCATTAAATTTATTAGAATTACTATTTTTCTTTAAATAAAATTAACCATTCCCCCCTTTCAATTGAGTCTTTCCCCTCATTAATTAACAATAGATAGAATAATTAGTACATCAAATATTATTTTTTATTACATTTATAAATTTAAATATTTTTTAAAAAATACTAAATGTTGGTGCATTTCACACCTAGAGAGACTTCAATAATTTAAAAAAAAAAGAAAAGAAATTAACCACTGTCAATGTCATATTTTGGTGAGCTAGCACTGGATTTCTTTTGGTACTGCATGTTGGATTACACAAATGATTTCCAGTCATAACTAGTTGGGAAAATATTACAAAACTCAATGCAAGGCAACAATAAATAATTAGACAGCCTTGTGCTAGAGCACATCTACCTACCCACCAACAACAAATTTAATTTCTATGTACATATATGTTCATTTTATCGGTCTACAAATAGCCAGCATAATTTTATGTTTGACATCTACGCTAAAAGTCATTACAAAACATCTAAAACAAGACTAAGAGAAGGATCTGGAACCACACTCACCATTTCATCCTCTTTTTCCTTTTGAAAGACTAAGTATTTTAACATTGATTAATAGTTGTTTAATTATAGATTACGATTCTTCATCCAAATAAAAGAAAATAGAAAATGCACCGACTATAGTTGTTCCTGTCAACAACAGAAATCATACAGAATGTTGAAGGGATTGCTTAACTTTTAATGTTGTATATCAAGTTCCAACCAGTTGGCAGAACAAAGCCCTGGTCCCAACAATAACGTTGAACACGCGAACTCCAGTGATGAAATTTTGATTGGAATATGAGTAAGCACTGGGTTTTGATTGGATCAAAATGACTAAGAGATTCATAGGCAGTTGGCCCTTTTATCCCTCGGTTTTGGCTTTTGGTTTATTTTAATTAATTACACAGACTGGAACTTTCACTGGGCGGTGTCTCCCACCACAAATTAGTAAATTAAAAAGAGTATGAGGGAGGCGACTCAAGTCAAGTGGTTGTTGACATGGACGAAGCAGGAAGTTTGGGTCCCAATCCACACCTGGTTTTGTGATCTAGGGTTTGATTTGATGTGGGAAATTTAATATCATTTTCTTGCCGCTTCCGGTCTCGCCAACTACTACTATACGTTAAAATAAAAGTTAGTTCATCTTATAAAAATAAAGAAATTTGAAATGTTAATTACTTATTTTTTTATAATCTTTGATTCGAGCAATTGTATATGTATGGTATATATACATTATCAAAAAGTTAAAAAGTTTTAAACATATATTATATTACCTTATAATCGTCACATACTATTAAAAAATGAAAGATTGTTTTTTAGAATATTTAATATGACGTTATTTGGTACATTATTAAGAATTTTACAGTATCCGTTTATTTAATAAGAATGTAAGATTATGATGTTTGGTTAGAAGAATATAAGATTATTTGAAAAATTATCAAGTAATTATTCTGATATATTTTTTAACATGTTATATTTATAATATTACATTGAAATTACATAAAAATTCATATAACTATTTCGTTAAAACTCATCACACTATCTAAATTTTATATAAAAAATTATATCTATCATATTATTAATATAATTATTATATTTTAACTAATTTCTTAAAATATAATTTATATTTATATGTCCACGTCACTCTTTAACTTTTTTTTTGAATTGTCACATGTTAGACGTTTAATATGTTTAATTTTTTATTACTTATGATATTCGTCAAATAAACTAGAGGGAATAATAATAAAAATAATAAATCTTAAAATAATAAAATAGTAATAAATTTTATAGATCATAAATTTAATTTACTGTTTTTTAAAGATAAGAAACATCTTATAAATCAAAGAATAAAATTATTAGTGTTACCTCCTAATTAATTCACTCTCAAGCAACATGCAACTGCACTATACAACTTTAGAAACATCATAAATATAATATTAACAAAAATACATTAAATATTAAAGTACTATTTAAATATATGTAACATCATTTAAATGTTAAACTAATATGAAATAAAAAATATTTAAAAAATAAAGCATTCCTACTATTTGGGAGGAAAGTGCCACTATTGTTAAAGGATTACTATCTTCTGAGAATTCTTCTAAGTCAATCGTGAGAATGTAATTTTAGAAAAGATTATGGTCTCTAATAATAATTATTTCTGTGAACTAAACACGTTCTAATTACACGAATTTTCGAACTTATGAATATATTTAGCACCTACATAATCAACTCCTTCCAAACCACCCATTTCAAATCCAAGAAACCTCCATTTACACTTGTTTAATATGTTTTTTTATATTGGACCTGTTGAGAATCTATCAATCACCTATACGACAGATAGTATTTCAAAGATTTGTCACCGGCCTTTATGGACATGTTGAAAGGTAATTAAGATCCTCAACTTCACTTTGCACCCAAAAAAAAAACAGGCCTTTTGACCAGTTTAATTTAATAAGCTGTTTTAAATTAGTGGACTAACCCTAGGATGATGCATTAGGTTTCTTAGTTGCTTACACGTAAGCTTGTTATTGCCCACAAGCTCTCTTAGTTGCTGATTCATAACAATCCCAACCTAAGACATTATTAATTCCTAATCTCTCTCATGTTAGTAATGAGTCTCAAGGAAATCTTACCAGACACTAAGATTGCAGCAGCTTATGATCTAATTATCAATGCTGCAATCTTTAAAACTCTTGGTATAAATGAATGGTAAGGATATTAAAATGGCAAAATAAAAATGATAATACCCTATCTTAAAAAAGAAATTGTGGATAAAGAAAAAATAATAACTGAATATAAAAAAATAATAAAATATAAATGTATTTGTAATACCCTAAATCACCACACCGTTTTTCATAGGAAGAAACAATGACAAGGTTACTTAGTTTGTCCTTGCATGTTTGGTAAAAGTAATGCTGCATGTAGGAAGAAAGTTAAGAGTAATAATGTTGCCCTAATATCAAAACACAGCGGTTGTTGAAATGGAGAGCCCCTGAAAGTAAAAGAAGAGTTTACAGCTTGTAACCCTTTCTTTTCCAAGCACGTGATAAGACAAATATTGGGTTTCAAGACTGTTACACTTCACTTCAACATGTCTTTGTTTGTGCTCACACAGACAACTTACTGTTAATGCATTCGTTACAGATAAGATTGAAGGTTGCAAATTAGGTATCTGATTAGTAACAGACAAATTATAGAACACATGTTGTATGGCAACAGCTGAGGTGGATTTGATGGTGATTATTATGTCTCCAACTTGAGTTCCCCCACACCGAGTTAGCAGGCAAAGATTCTCTAACAGTTAAATGTGCATTTTGGGTTTAAAGTGCTTTTGGACATCACCTGTTTAATCTCGTCATGTCGTTTGACATTTTGGAAATAAAGGAAGAAACAAAGTGTGGTGTTACCTTTGGAGAGTGTCATCAATCACCAACCAAACCATTGACAAAGCAAACCAGTAGTCGAGCAGTAGGTTGTGACGTTGTGTTTCATTTGATGGATCACATTGCCATACATTTTATGTTAGACTATAAATTTAAAAAGTTATATAAAATATTCAGAGAATATGGAATTAGATTATAAATAAAAATAATATATACTATGAGAATTTAAATTTTCAAAGACCTTGATCTATCCCTTCTTGTAAGTTGAGCACACAACATTTGTCCAACTAATTCCTTCATTTTCTTAATTGCTTTGGATCCTATTTCATGTTTTTTTATCATTATTGGTACTCTTTATTATTCATAATTTGAAGGAGATTACGAGTTTAAATAAACTTAAATCTACATGTTATGTATATGCTATAATAATAAACGTGTAAATTGAATTAAGACTCATTTAACTTTAATTAGGGGAGGTAACGGCCGGGTTAGATTTTTAGCCCACTCGAATTCTATTCAAAAACTGAAGCACTTCACTCGTACCTGACTTGATTCCGATTTAAGAGGAGTATACTCAACCCGAAACCTAATTAAATATTTTAGGTTAAAATTTGCCCCCGTTCCGACCTATATATATATATATATAAATTCATTTTTATTAGAAAAATAAAAACTTAATTTAAAATAAAATAAAATAAAAAATATTATTTTGAATACCTTTAAATATATAAACAATAATTATAAAATTATATCATCGAATCAAATCAGACTAAATTTTTTTATTCTAAATCTAAATTTAAAACCCCTGACTTTAACTTTCAAATTTTTACCCACCTATAGAAATAGCAATAATAATAAGAAAAAAAAAACTGTAAACTATAAGGTGGCAATTGGAATCCAATTCCATCAAGGGAGGGAAAGTAAATTTCATCCATAATATGATGAAATTAAAATCCTTTGGAGGAGAGAATGTGAAATTTGACCATACTATCTTCATCAATCTTTTGGTATTCAGGTCGGATTTTTTTAAAAAATTTCAGGATAGGGTCGGATTTAAAAAAAAATCGGGGTCGGGTCGGGCTTTAAAAAAAATCGGGTTCGGTTCGGGTTTTTTAAGTGTGATATTTGGGTCGGGTCGGGTTTAGGGTGAAAAATATCCGACCAGACCCGAAAAAAATATATAATTTTACCTTATATATTTAGGAATAATTACAATAATACCCCTCTATATATAATTTTTTCAATTAAGTCACTGTTTTTGTTGAATAAAAATATTTTTTTATTATTTTGGGTCGGGTCGGGTTTCTAATTCATATATTCGGGTCGGGTCAGGTCTAGGGTGGAAGTTCCCTTGTTCTCGGGTCGGGTCGGGTGGACCAAAAACCCGACCCAACCCGACCCATGACCATCCCTAATTGAGATGATTTTAACTTATGATGTTTATTAGTATGATTTTTATAATTTATTGAAATGAATAATCAAACAATAAAATGAAATTTTAATATTTTTTAAATTTCTATAATATATTGCTACATGTAAGTTATAAAACAAACTAAAATTAAGCAAAAAAAAAACAAGAAAGGACAATTCTGTCATTTTATATGATTGAAATTAAATTCATCTGACATATCTATGAACCAAACAGAATATAGAAATGAATTCCAATTCAATTTCCTGCCAACCAAACAGGTTTCAAATTCCAATTCATTCACATATTTCAATTTCCTCAGAAACATCCCAGCGAACCAAACGTTACCTAAGTGAAATTTATATACATGAAACCTTTCGTTCTAAATTTAGATTTTATGGTACAAAATTCATATTGGCGAGGGAAATTAAGTGATTGTAACTTTGGAAAAATAAAAAAGTATGTGCAAGTGAAACAAATAATTTCCAAATAAATGAAAAATAAAATGTTTTGAAAATGTACAAAGATCTCCAAACGGCAAAGCCCGAGTCAAGGCCTGGCCGGAGCAAGACTAAGGTGCAAATCTAATCCCAATGCTTCGTCAGAACTGGAACCACCATCTCCCTTTGAAAACCTACGCAACGACGGTCCATTAACCGCCCTCCCATGGTGGTGGGCCCCACCTTGCATCACTTGTGGACCAACGCCGACGCCGGTATCCCCCAAGCCACCACCATAAGGTACACTAGCCGGGCCCCTCCCCGCTCCACCACCACCACCAGCGCCTGGGATCACGCAACCATGTGAGACGTGGAAAGGAGGTGGACCTCCTCGAGGCAGGTACACCCACGACGGTCCTACCGCATCCGGCACCACGACGGGTGTAGCTGACGCTAAGAGATACGGCGGAGGGGCAAAGGCCGAGATATTAGGATTCCTAGCGAATGAAACGGCTGCGCTTCTCGAGGCTCGAAGGTGAGCACGCTTCATCTGTTGCCTCTCCTTCTTATGAGCGTTCTGATGACCTCCCAAAGCTTGAGAATTAGCAAACTCACGGCAACAATACTGACACTCGTACTTCCGGTCACCGGAAGCCGGGAATACGCCCGGATCCGAAGACAACCCCGATGACGGATCTTTGGTGGCGCTGGAATCCATAACATCATCATCTTCCGAGACGTTGAAGCCGAAGAGCTTTAAACGTGCGGTGCTGCTGCTGCTTTTGGTATTATCAACTTGGTATTCTAGCTCCGCCATGATGGAGAAACACAAAAACAGAAAGATAAATGAACAAGCGTGGGGTTAGTTGATGTAATGCAAGGGAAAAGGTTGCATGTGTGGGGGTATATATACATAATAATTTTTTCAAGTAATGTTAGAGATTTGCATCTTGACAATAGAATAAATTAAATTAGAAGGATCTTTCATAATAGAATTTTATAATATTCGATTTAGATTAGTGTATCAAACCGATAATTATACAATAAAAAGGTTTGTAGGATATGAACAGCAGAAACTTAAGAACGAAAGAGAGAGATTTCGGATATTCCAAGGAGATTATAAGGGAGTCCGACACGATCCAAGAACACTTGATTTTGACCCTCTGGCCTCTGCATAAGTTTTGTAAGAACACTTTGGTTGAGAACGTGAAGCAATTAGGTTAGATTAAAAGAGAGAGAGAGAGAGAGTTTTTTGGATGACGAATCAGAAGGTAACAAAGTTGTTTTCAGACATAGGTTGGGTCAATATGATAATATGTTCTTACACGACACGTACAATTCCAAGGAGCTGGTTAAGGGTGATCTAAAGTGAAGTGAGGTCTTTAGTAGGGCTGTATAGGTAGCATAGTATTAAATTTCATAGATAAAAAATTATTAAAAACAAATATAAATCATAGAAGTGTTATCATATTGGATAATGGGTAATAACAATTATAATGTTAATTAATAACATATAAACAATATCATTAAAATCATATCAAATTTTTTATATTGTAACATAAAAATGTTCATTTACCTAACTTAGAAAGAAAAAAAATACATAACTACAAATATAAAAATTTTATATCTTATGGTTCACCACCAAAATGAATGGCATAGCGGATCTAAAGCATTTCTATCTTCGTCATTGTCTTGGTTTTGATTCCTTCCTATTCCATGTGAAGAAGACATCACATTATGTGCATCATAAGATGCATCATTGGTAAGAAACATGTTGTACGATAACATTTTATAATAAATAGATTAGATAAAGTTTTATAGTATCATAGTAAATAGATAAAATACATATATTATTATAGTATTATAAATTGAATTCCTCTCTTATACAAAATTTATATAATATTAAGTAAACATATAATTATTATACTTAATGTTAATATAAAAATTTAATTTAAAATTAATCACGTCAATTTTAGATATGAGACAATTTAAATTTAAATTAATTTAATTTTAAAATAATGTTAATAAATATTTTAATTAATTTAAATTTAAGTAATTAATTTTAAACATAACTATTACGATATTATTAATGATATATATTTATAATTCAGTTTTAAGAATTAAATTAGAACAATTCATCTATGTAATTTTATATTTTTAGATAATTTAAAGTTTATTGCGGTGTTGCGGCGTAATTTATAACGTGTTGCGGTGTTACGTAACGGTTTTTGACCGCAACAATCGTGATGCGGTTCCCTTATCGCGTTGCGCCGATATTACGTCGCGGTAACCTTAAAAAACATTACGATGCAGGCGTTACGCTGAGTTGCGGCCACAATTTAGTACTATGATAGGTAGCAAGGTCGATGCCTGTTAATGGTGGGCATCATTCATCAACATGGTGTATGACTAGAGATTGATCGTGAGTTGGATTAGATCTTTAGTCTATCTAAATTTTATTCGTAAATTAATTTTCTTCACTATATTTGATTTGTTTTAGATTTATGAGAATCTTATTCGATCCATAATTCGATTCGATTTTTGAGATAATAACTTATACTCGATCCGATCTGACTTATATATGCATTAATTTTATTTTTATATTAGATAAAATAAGAATCTAATTTAAAAAGTATATAAAGGGGATATTATTGTAATGATTTTAGGTTAAATACTAACAAACAAAAGCAGGGTGTACTAATGGGAAAATTCCATTAGAAATGACGACACATGTTGGAAATCTGGGAGACCTTTTTGTAATCACCATGAATTCCTTCTTTTAATTAATTAATTAATCAGCGAAAAACAGTGAGTGATAATGGTGGTGGAACCGTGTCCAATGAGACGCCGTGATGGCCATCTCTCTGTGTCCCGCGTTTCAGTTCAGCTCAACCTCAGGAGCCGACACCACCACCCTCGCTCCTCATTTCTCTCTAAAAAGGTGTCAAATTAAATCTAGCATGTAAAATCCATGCATGCATATATTGAGTGCATTAATGGCGATAATTAGATGATATTCTACCTATTTATGGATCACATAAATATAGTGAAGGATTGGTGTCCCAGCTGAACACCTAGCAACATGTTTCACATTAGATAAAACTCATGGAACTTAGGGTAAACACATATTTTTTTAATAGTTCAAGTTATTACAAGGTAGCAATATCTATTTAGAATTACTTTGTAAATGTCATTGTTCGAACTCAGGATCTATAAGGAAATCAATATTTACTTTTATTACTGAAACTACTTGATTAGTTCGATCTTAACATATATATATATATATATATAATGGACCCATGTGTTTACGTGTTGATGGTGGATAATAATTGTTTAGCGTGATTGACGCTGAAACCTATATTTCTTTATGTAATTTTCTTGCTTTGACAATGCCAAGATCTATCCGAATCTTACTAACTACGAAAAAGAGAGGTTTTCGGGTTTCTTCTAAATTCTATTCTCATAAATAATTATCCTCCCACTTCCAAGAAGAGAATAATTGATGTGGTACTATTAACATGAACACAATTTGTATTATATTATGCAGAAGCTCTTACCGAGTGTTAGTGTTGGTCTCAACCAGGGACGGGGTTGTTTTATGAGTGCGAGCCACAGTGGGCCCTCGATACTTTTTGGGAATGATTTCTCGAGCCAATTTCTCACAGAAAGTATATTGAACTTGGGAATTGATAAAATTAAAAACCGCTCATTAATCGTAAAAGGGAAACAATACAGGTTAACAGTAGATTAAAGACTAGAACAGCCATAGTCACAGGCTCACAGCCTCTGTGGAAGAGATTGTTCAACGTTTGATCTTGTTTAGTCGTATATTTCTTAAAGAAAAAGGAAGAAAACAAAAATACATTAACCATAAACTTCTACGGTCGTGAAAATGACTACTTTGCCTTGTTCCGATAAGAACTAGTTTATATTACAAGTAAAAATGAAAATCCAGAAGATTTAGGTCTATTCGTTCTAAACTAAACCCGTATGCTAGTTATTGCAGAGATTCTAAACTAGCTTATTTCACCAAAACACATTGAATCATTTCATTTGTAATAGCATTTGGTCTATTCATAACCAGAATCCTCACCCGTAAAATAGAAAAATTCGAACACCTCTGCAACGAAAATCTCAGAGGTTATAGGTACTCAAACTATTTCCTTTGCTTTTATTCACTTTTTTTATTATTATTAACAACTATGGAGAAACACATACACAGACAGACCAACTCTAAAAGCATCAATCAAGCATAACGTAATTAATCTTAGAGCAAACCAACCGGCAAAATTGCATGAAAAAACAAATCTATGATAACTATAAACGTTGAGTTTAAGACTGAAATGAAGTATCAAAGGAGAGCTCACTTGATCAAATAAGCAAAAACAGGAATTAAAAGTTACAGCCATATAGTCATACATTGACATGATCTTTACTCTAAAACTGACTCACTCAAAAACCATGGTGGATCAGAAAGATAGGAAATGAATTGAATAAATAGTACAAAGCAAGCTGGAGAGCGGTGGCAAATATTTCTAACCTGAATCCCATTTCAACTAAGCTTTTTATCTGATCCCTTCAGATTCAGATTAAACCATTTCTTTTTGCTTGATTTATCCTTCCCGTCCGAGTTTCCATCTTCCAATGGACTCTCAGCCTCACCAGGAACTTTGCTAGTGCTTCCATTACTTAATTTAACACCAACACTGTTGGGTGTTTTTGTTACAGTAAATGAAGCATGGATGCTATCACGGTGTTTCAGCAGCTCATCTACCTGTGTTATGGATGCCAAAACATGGAGTCAAACCATCAATATATTTACACAATAATGATGCGAATCTAAGCAAAATTACTCTCGGAAAGACCAAGAAACTCATCCTTTTCTATAGCCATTTATCAAAATATTAGAAGGAATATGTATTTTCAGGCTGGTGCACTAAATATGCATAAATATAGAAAAGGCATATCCTTACGCTTATAAGAAAGCCATTTGCCAAATTTAAAGGACTTCGTAAATCCAGGGAAAAAACTAGTATGACAAGAAGATAAGAACAGATAAAAAAGAAAAATTAAAAAATAAAACTAAAAATACAGAGAACAAGGTTTTGAAACATACGGACTGCTTTTCTTGACTGTATCGGTTGGTAACTTCTTGATAGCGTGCCAATGCCTACAAAATATCCCACCATAAGATCAAAATGTGTACAAACCGTACTTATGACAAACTTGAAATAGCACAATACTATTTTTCAGCAAAATAGAAAAAAGAACATAGTTGGATTAATACTTTTCTATATTCTGTTTCAAATTGGCGCAACTCATTTCTCTTGCTTAAAATCTGAGCTTCAATATCCTTAAGCTTCTCAGTGGTATCCTCAAAAGACTTTGCACAAAGTGCCTCAATTGTGTAAGAAGCAGTCTTGAAAAAATTATCTCCTAAGAAAATATAGCCAAACCAGTCAACTAAAAACAGAAATACTCCTAAACATACTTCAAACAAAATTAACAGACAACAAAAATGCTCCAACCATAAACAGCAAATATATGTGTGCCAGCTTTTAGTTCTGAAACCTCACAAGGTTGAAGACCTTCCAACCTTTTAAAGAAAGCAGATTCAGGGTCTTTAGCTATTGCTAACTGCATAATACATGAATATATCACCACCTCTTACTACAACAAGTCAAACAAAGACCAGAGAATAGGAAGATAAAAGTAAGAAATGAAAACTCACACACCGCATTTAGAGTCAAATCCATTCTGTATACTTGAAAATGCAAAAAATACATGCCAGCAGATGTCACCTTCCCTGTCTTCTCACTGTCTTCCTGGACACAGGACAGTGAAATCATAAATAGAAAAGTAAAAAATGTATGAATAACGCCCAATTACTTTAGAAATATAACTACAAGTAACAAAATATCCTTGCTTTACCACAAGAGCTTTTCTCTGCAAAACCACTGAACCATTAGTAACACGTGCTTTCATATAACCATAGAGCTAGTATAACAACTGTGTCAAAAACAATGGCAATCTGATAGAAAATGACAAAGGCAAAATTGAAATCTCAAGCTTAAAAAAGATAAACTATAATACTGCGTATGATATGTACAAAATAGAACTAAAGAATAGCAGCTTATTCAGATAACTTTTTACATCTAGAATACCACTGGAATAGATAGAAATAGTGGCATATGCACATAATAGAAATAGGCATATAAAAGTAACAGAAAGTAATTCTAAAAGTCAACTCTAATGCCTCATTTGGTGACATAAGTATTAACACAAGGAAAAGCTTAATTAATACATGAGTATTAAAATAGTTTGCCATAACATAAAGTAAAATTAGTACAACTCTAAACTTGAAATTAGAAAGAGTACAAACTCAAAGTAAAAAATAAGACCTCTTTGAAATAATTAAAATAGTCTCCTTCTCTTTGTTCCAACTAAGTCATGTGAGTGACAAAATTACCAAGTGAAATTAGTTTTTTGCTAACTCCTGTACTAAACATGAGGAAAAAAATAACAGTCCTATCAACCATCAACCATAGCATAAATGCAACACATTCCAATCTAGAGTCTTCTACTTGGATTGTACTTATGTTTAAGGGATGGATCATTTGTTCATTCATAATTATTATATGAACTAGAAACTAGATACAAGCAACTATAATAGGAATAGCCATGCTTCTCGAAATACCCTTGACGGTGTCAGATACTCAGATTCTTTTGACTGTCAACGGGCAACCTAGCGGCTAGTACATGACATGTCAAACTAAATACTTCTAGCATGCTTTACAGAAAATAAAAAAAAAATCAGAGAAGAGCTTTTCTGAAAGAATAAGGGTTTTCCTTTTTCGTTTGTACTTTATGAAAAAAGAATCATCACCAAATCCTGCCTTGTAGTTAATAACATAACCATTTCAATATTTTCTTCCAAAAGCAACCGCACATTTAATGTTTATCTGCTAAACAACTGGAGGACAGAATGCAAATAAAAATAAAGGTTTATACTTTATAGCACCCAAAAAAATAAAGGTTTCTGGTCTACAACTGAATTTGAAGAAGAGCAAATTGTTTGGGGTTAATGTTAATGAGGGGGAACTGCTGGAATGGGCTACTTCTATTGGATGTTCAATTGGAAGATTTCCTTCCGAATATCTAGGGCTTCCCCTTGGGGCTACTAGAAATTCTGCAGCTATTTGGGAACCAGTCATTAATAATTTTTTTAACAAGCTAACCGGGTGGAGGGTTGCATCTCTTTCTTTAGCAGGGAGGCTAGTGTTAATCAAGGCGGTTCTTTGTTCGCTTCCTACATATTATCTTTCCATATTTAAAATTCCAGCTTCGGTTCTAAAAACCCTTAACTCTATCATGTCAATTTCCTATGGGGAGGGGGAACTGGCATTAGAAAAATCTACTGGGTTAGCTGGTCCAATGTTAGCAAGCCGAAGAGTGAAGGGGGCTTAGGAGTTCTTAATCTCAACTTGATGAATAGAGCGCTTTTAGGGAAATGGACTTAGAGGTTTGCCAATGATAGGGACGCAGTTTGGAGGGAAGTTGTTTTGTGCCAAATATAGACTCGATTCTTCAGTTTTAACTCTTGACAGTAAGGTACCTCCTAAAGTATCCTGGATTTGGAGATCATTGCTTAATAATTATTTTAAAGAAGACTTCTTTGGCACTAAATTTAGAAGCATGTGTAGTTTTCATGTTGGTGATGGTAAAAATATTCGGTTTTGGCAAGATATTTGGGCTGTGGATCATCCACTTGTTGTCATTTTCCCAAGACTATTTACTATTTCCTTAAATCAGTTTGGGAAATTATCTGAATTCGGTGAGTATATCTCTTCCGTTTGGACTTGGGATGTTAAATTTAGAAGAACTCTTCATGACTGGGAACTTGAACAATGGTCTAACTTGCTGGCTATCATTTCGAATTTTTCGCTCTCTTCGGATTTTCCTGATCGTGTGCTTTGGAAAGGGACTGGAGATGGGGTTTTTACTGTTAGATCAACTGTTAATCTATGTTCATCGGAGACTTTGGGATTGGATGAGGTACTTTTCTGGAAGAAGTTTATTTGGAGAGGCCTTCTGCCTCCAAGAGTAGAGTGTTTTCTTTGGCAGATCGCTCATGGGAAGCTGGCTGTTAGGACTGAACTTGTCAAAAGAGGTGTTCAGGGAATTGAAGATGTATTATGTCCCCTATGCAAGATGTCGGATGAGTCTCCCTCTCATTTGTTTTTCTGTTGTTCGGTGGTGTGGTCCCTTTGGAATAAGTTTTTAAGTTATTGGAGGATTTGTTCTGTTTTACCAGCGGATGCTAAAAGTTTCTTTCTAGCTTGGGATGGATTAAAGTCAAACTCTTTGATGTGGCCTTTTATTCCAGGGGTCATTATTTGGACCACTTGGAAAATGAGGAATTTCGTGGTGTTTGAAGGGGGAAAGTTTGATAAGGCAGAATTCTTCTTTTTAGCTAGATTTAGGCTTGCTTCTTGGTTCTTAGCAAAGTATAAAGAAGTTCCTATCCCTAAGGACTCACTCATTTCCGATCCTTCTCTTGGGTACTTAGTTTCTATACACTCGAGTAAAATTACTTCCTCTTTGCCTTGGTCTCCTCCTCCGTTAGGTTTTGTTAAATTAAATGTCGATGCTGCCACTACATGGGATTGGAAGAAAAGCGGACTAGGAGGTGTTTTAAAAGATTCATCAGGTTCTACTATAGCCTATTTCAAGGAAACTGTTGGTCCGGGACCTCCTACGTTGATGGAGTTAAAGTCTATTCTTATGGGGTTGTCTTTCTTTGCATCCCATCGAGAGAGGATCAAGGACCGTCTGATTATAGAGAGTGATAGTAAGGTCGTTGTGGATTGGATAAAGGGGGTTGAATTATGTCCTGTTGTATATGCCTTCTTGATTAAAGATATTGTTCATAGGCTTAAGGCCTTTGAAGGTGTTGTTAGATGGGTTAATAGGACAACCAATTTAGAGGCTGATGCCTTAGCTAAAGAAGGCATAGGCTGAGTTAGTTAAGTTGTTGATGGTTGTTTAGAGTTGTTTCTTCTTTTTCTGTGTTTTGTTAGGGGGTTACTATTGTTGTTTTCGCTGTTTCTGTGTTTTTAGTTTGGATGTTTTATGGGTGTTTTCAGCTTATTTGGTTCTGTTGGGGTGTTTTCTTGGTTGTATTTTGTGTGTATCTTATGTAATTTTCTGTTTCAATAAAATCCTAAGGCACTCTTTTCCTCCTTCCGCTGATTAAGGAGCTTCCCTACAAGCTCCATTAATCAAGAAGGGGGTTTTTAATGAGGTCTGAAATTCTTTTAAAAAAAATGCCGAGAAAATAGAATCACCGTGCTAGGAGATTAAACTTTCCAGAGATAGTTCACAACGGATAGGGAGGGGACAAAAAATAGGGAGACCGTGTAACAATGAAAAAGGTATATAAACATTAACAAGTTGACTTCAGGACCACTAATTTTAAGTTCCACAAATTTCATTGTGACCAAAAATCAAAAATGTTCGAGAAATACACAATCAAAACTTACCATGATCTTGCATTGTTACCATGGGAAATAGGGCAATAGCTAGTAATTTTCTAAGAAATCAATAGTAAGGTTTCCACAAGCATTCTGACAGACATCAAAAGTTTCAATATGGCTATAGATATTTTCTTTTTGTTTCTGTCACTTAAAGTTCCAATTCTCATATTATTAGAAAGATATAGCATAAACAATCACATAACAAATAAATAAATAAGTGAAACAAAATCTGCATGGATTACCTTGGAAATTAACACTTAAAATTTAACATGTACTACAAAAGTTACAAGCAAATCATACAAATTGGAAAGGACAACAATCAAAGACAAGTGCATAGTACCTGTAGGGCCAAACCGTAGCCACCATTGACGTCTTGTTCAAAATAAAGTAACTGGAATTTTTACATTAATAAAACAGTCAGTTACTATATACATCTGATATAGTGCCACATAGAAGAGATGCATACCCATGAGCAATGGTCATGCACACAAAAGCACACAGAAAGAGAGAAGTGACGAGATAGGGGACACAGAAACACTTCAGTCCTTTTGAAAGAACATAAGACCATTCAAATAATAATAATTTACAGATTAGATACCTTGAATTTGCTTTGTGCGGATGAAGTTACCCTGACAACAATCCCAGCCTCAGCTTGTTCATCACTTATTGTTACACCAAAGAAATGGGCACATTGCTTTTCTACCTGCAGCAAAATGCATGAGAATTTGTGGAAGTGTAGGAAAGAAAATGGTAAATCAGCTAGAAAAACAAAAAAGAAAACACCTTTCCACTAATTGATGTTCCAATAGGAAGGGGTCTAACTGTGACGGTTCCATTTAGAGCTTCTTCAAGAACATTAGCTGAGATTGTAGTCTTAATGGGGACACCAAGCTTGCTAAAACATTTAAGCAGGGTAAAAGAAAGAATAAGTGACTTAGAAAAAAAAAGTAAATGCAGCATAAAAGTTACAATATTTAATGGATGTCTCGCCTGAATAATGCCGCAAACATTGTATTAACAGTTCCTAGATTGGATAAATCAATCTCCATATCCATCGAATCTTCAACAGCCTTGTAAAGTTGTTGAGAAAAGAGAAAAATATTTAGGTTTTGGCTTGTCATCACAAAAGGAATAGAAGGCAGAAACTATGAACAAAAAGAAAATAAATAGAGTTGGAGGGAAAAAGTAAATATTAAGTTAAAAATATCGTCAAGTAAATTTAAGAACTAAGATAGAGCCTTCAATTATAAATGCAGATAGATTCTTAAACCTCTAGTCAGTGGCAAAAGGTTGCACATCAATATCTAATAGATTTAGACAGAACAGAAGCAGAGCAGCAACAAATACCAAGCAGCATGGGAATAAGAGGTGGTGATGTGACACAAGATAGCAAATGTAGGTTATAATGCAGACTAGTGTTGCAAGTAGATAATCTGAAGTAAGAAGAGAATGAGATCCTAAAGAAAATTTGAAAATGATGGTTTTCTTGTTTCCATGGGTAAAATAAAACTAGAGGGAAGTTCAAAAGAAAATGAAATCCAATATCCTTAGTAGTGATCTGAGGAGATATTATAGTAATATAGTCTATGGAGGGTAGATTTCCATCAATACAATCTCCATGGCATGTCTCAATCAATGAATCAAAGGAAGAATATTAATACCTCTCTCTGTGCATGTATGTGCGAGAGAGAAAAAGATATGGTGGATATGAAAACATTAAAATTGACCACCCAAAGTAAAAAAAAAAACAAATTTTATGGACAGGATGTTGAGACCAGTTAAGGTTATATAAAAAATGTTGTTAAGGTTTGCAACTAGATGCAACACCTTAGCACCAAACAACAAAAGCACCTCAGACCTCAGACACTTGCACGGGACAAAAGGAAATCATGCATGTTGGCCAACCAAAAAAAAGCATGTAAGATATACTAGACTGCTTTTCAAAGTTTTTTTATCATAAAGTTTTTTTATCATAAGTATATATCTTAAAACTTATTATTATTATTATTATATATATATATAGACACATGCAAATATATGACACATATTGCACCTTACTATACTCAAGCAAGTTGTTTTCTTGGCCTTGCACTTTAAGCAATATAGTGGTTCAAGCACCTAGAGTGCGCCTTGTGCTCTTGACAATACTAGGCTAAATTTGGAATGTTTTATACATGTTCTTCACATTGGGTACCAAGACTCTTTAATAGCCAATTACTTCATGCCAAAGTAAGTAAGAAAAAATTCAATGAGTACCCAGGCCACAACAAAATGTCAGAGATAACTTCCTCTAACTATTTGCTTCTGTAGAGAGTGTTTTCTAAGGTTTTGGGTTTAGCAAACCTACTTTAAACCTAATAATAGAGGGAATCAGAGGCAAAATATATCCTAGATAGTGTTAATACGAACATTTCACTTTTACGAATTGAATCCAGCATTTCATAATAGTCAACTACACATACTATGAGGAAAATCTTTTCTTCTTCGAAGAATCAATAGTTCATTTCTACATGAATTTGTAACTCTAATTTTACAACGGTAAAATAAAACCAATGTTCTCATAGAACTTTTTTCTAGTCATAGATACATTTTTATTCTGAATTGAAAATCATCAGTAAAGTCTAAATTTAGAGAAATTGCACCATTCTCTTAGAATGAAACTCTTTGTATCTCAACAAGAAAGTGAGACTCAAATAAAGAAAAAATGAACCTTGAAAGAAATGTTGTGATGCTTAGTTCTGTACAATATACAAATATATATATATATTTTTTTTGATAGGAATATACAAATATATATATATATATATAAAGAAAAACTGGACAATAAAAGGAAAGGAAAGGAAAGCACCTCAAAACCTGCAGTGTCATATTGTCTTCTCTTTTCTGGGTCAGATAAAATGCTGTAAGAATATGCAACTTCCTTAAAACGCTCAGAAGCCTCAGGATTGCTGGTATTCTTGTCAGGATGGTACCTGCCAAAAGGAAAAAAAAAGCAAATAAAAGGAAATTCTGGTAAAAATCAAGCCAAACATGTAAGCATTTGATTGGAATATCTAACTTAATAACTCATTCATAGTTCTTGTAGGTTAACGCTACAGATCTATCATTTATAAATGGATAAGAATACGACAGCAATCACATTTGTAATATTACATCCACATTCTAATTCTATTAATTGGTTTTAGTTTATTAACAGCTGTATGGAAACAATCGTTATAATGTCAGTGGTGCATGTATGAAATCTTTGCACAATAAGTTACAGATCACAGGAAGCACTCAACTTGCAAATGAAAACAAAAATAAATGCCCACTATACTTAATTAGAAAAGGAAATGGGACAGTCGAAGAAAGATTTCTGGAAGCTTAGCAACACACATTTGTTCCTTTAACAATCTGGCTCGACTACATTTTCATTGTCAGCTATTCTACTACATAACCCACTAGGAAAGAGACATCCTACAAATATAAGAACTCTTCATAGAAGTTTCCAATTAAAATCTCGATCATTTCCCCGACAAAATGTTGCAAAATTTCCCCCAATAAACCGTTAGCCTCCTTGAGCCATGATATAGTTTGCAATTAAACTTAAATGCGAAATTTTGAAATCGTCAACTTCCTATTAGCACAAAATTACTCTTATATTAAAGCGACAAAAAAATCCCCTTACTTAAGAGCTAGTTTTCTATAGGCAGTTTTAATCTCCTGATCAGTGGAATCCCTCGCAACGCACAAAACATCATAAGGGTCACGACGGATAGCTGGAGCCGATGGCCCTTCCATCTCCTTTGAACTCAACGCTTCTGTGTTTTTTTCCTCTGTTATCTAAAGCTCCCTTCTGATATGCCTAAATTACAGGAGTAAATCTACAAATTCAAAAAAACGTAAAAAAGAGAAGGCAACAAAAGATCAAAAGTTTTCAAAGACGAAAAAGAAAAAGAATTACACGGAATTCAACGCTGTATTGGATCTCTCCATCTCTCTCTAGAGAAAAGGAAAGGCAAACAAATATTTTAAAACTGATAAAGTGAAGATCCAACTTACAGAATAATCTAAATTGCAAAATGAATGAGCTAGGGTTTTCAAATTTTCAAATTTATAGAAGGCCAGAGCTGAAGACAGTGAGATGACCTAAGAAATGCTGGATTCTCTCTTTTATCTGATTGGGAGAGTTTGAGCCAGCACCACAGTGCACGCTTCGTCGAGTCCTGACTTGGGTCTAACAAATAGAAAACCAAGAGGTCATAAAGCAAAACTAAAAATTATATTTTAAAAAAGGGTTAATATTATTATACATGCTCAAACTATACGCTGAATTTTAAATTAGTCCTAAACCTCAAAACGATATAATTGAATCTTCGAAAAGAAATTATCATACTCGGGTTCCTTTTTTAAACCAAAGGTTACTGATAAGTCTATATTAACTCTTAAATTTTAAAAATATTTGAATTCTATCTAAATTTTAATTTTTTATTAAGTTGGAGTAAGTACAAGGTAATATCGTATCTTAAGGAATAACAAAAATTCTTTTACTACAGAAATCGTTAGATTCGTGCTAAAAAAATTTAAATTTCAAATTTTAAATATTCAAATTAAAACTTCCTCATCTAAAGTTTAATTTAAAAAGGGTAAATTATATATTTACTCATTAAATTTTACTCTCTTTTATTTCACTCATTGTACTTTTAATTTTTTTCAATTTAATCATTGAACTTTATACATTGAGTTTTTTTGTCTCTTAGCCGTTAAATTTCTAACGGTATTATGATGTGACAGTCAACACCAAAACGACGTAATTTTGAATCTTATAAAAAATTAAATTTAGACTAAAATGACGTAGTTTTAATATAAATAAAAAATTATTTTTCTTTTTCCTTCATTTTCTACTCTTTCCTTATTTTTTCTTTCTTTTCACCCCTTCTCTCTTCGTTTCTCTTCTTAACCTCAATTAGCCCAAATTTCGACCATCACACCAACCGCTATTATGACCACTATCGACAACCTTCGTCGGAAATCAAACGCCAATATACTACCCTAGCTCCTATTCACTACACAACAATAGAAGGTGAAGATTTCGAGCACCTTCTAGGCCCCATTTTACATGCATATTGCATTCTTAATACTCTTACTATAATATATACATGAAACCAACACCAAAAGAAGGATCGATGATAGCAATAAAATAAGTTGGTGCCAAAAAAGTTACCTCCATAACACGTCTGTAATTGCTCACTTCCCAATATGTCACTCTAGTAGTGTAGGTACATATCAGGAGTAACATATTCATACCTACAGAATATATGTATGTACTTTATTTTAAATGCTTAGAAAATATATAAGGGAAATGAACTAGGCTAGCTTAATTAACAGATTAATGAAGATTCAACAAAACAACCAACGGAAAAAAGATCACTCCTACCAGTATCTCGTGACTTCTCCGTTGATGTTTGATCCAAATATGATAACATTTCTTGCATACATATGCCTCCCAATGTGTGTGTTGCGGAAGACGGCTATTGGATAGAGCAAAATCGCAACTAATAATTTGAGAAAATAAAAATAAAGATAAAAAAGACACTGATTTTACGTGTAAAACCCCTAAATAATATAGGGTAAAAACCACGGACAACGGTAGAATAATTTCACTATGAGAAAATAGGAATTACAACTTCTCTCGATCTAACAAGGAGAAAACAATGATAATTCTCTCTTGATAAAAAGGAGAAAACAACTCTCAAGAAAACTCTCTAAATTCTCTAGTATTGGAGAAAGTTAAAATGATTTGGGATGATTTTGAAGCTAAATGAGCTAGGGTATTTATAGTTGAAGCTTAAGGACTAATCTTATAAATATCCTAAAAGTAAAGTGACTAAATTGGGTATTTTACCCTTGCACATTTTCAACAATTACAACTCATTTTTTGACTCCACCATTCGGTTCATTAATGCACCACCAAAAGCCACCGAAAGTGTTTTGGTCATGTGGCCAACTTGGCTTTTAATTTTCAACAATCTCTTACTTGAAGATTTAATTGGAACAATTATATCTTCACACCATTCTTTCTACCTTGTACCTTCATGTTTCTTACGTCTCTGACAGGCCACAAGAGGACCTACACCGAGTAAATGTATCAGCATTTGCCACCTTTGTCATGGAATATGCTATGTTGTCTTTGGTATGGATCTTCTACATATCTATCATCCCTTCTTCCACCTTTTCACGAATGAAGTGGTACTGAACTCGTATGTGTTTTGTCCTTGAATGAAATGTTGGATTCATTGCTAGATGCAAGGCACTTTGACTGTCACAAAATAGAGAGACATACTCTTGATTGTGCCCAAGCTCCTCCAATAGCATCTTCAACCAAATTGCTTATTTACTGGTTTGTGTAGCTGCTACATATTCTGCCTCTGTTGTGGACGTAGCCACAATTGACTGTAATTTTGAAACCCAGCTTACAGCTCCACCAGCAATTTTGAACACATATCCTGTAGTATATTTGTTTTGATCAAAATCCCCTGCATAGGCAGAGTCTACATACCCATTGATTAGTAAATTTGATCCTCCGTAACATAATGCAATATTTGAGGTCCCTTTGATGTATCTCAATACCCTCTTTACTATATTCCAATACCCTTTGCCTGGATTCGCCATGTACCGACTAACCACTCCCACTGCTTGTGCAATGTCTGGTCTTGTGCATATCATAGCGAACATTAAACTTCCCACTGCTGATGCATATTGTACTCGAGACATCTCCATCCTCTCTTTTTTACTTCTAGGACTCATACTAGAGGATAATTTGAAGTTAATAGGAAGATGGGTATAAATTAGCTTACAATCTTGCATGTTGAATCTTGACAATATCTTCTTCAAATAATTCTTTTGTGAAAGCCAAATTTTCCTATTACTTCTGTCTTAGTGAATTTACATCCCCATAATCTTGTTTGTTGATCCCAAGTCATTCATTTCAAATTCCCTAGCCAATTGTGCATTCAATTCTTCGATATGATCTTTCTTGGGTCCTGCAATCAACATTTCATCCACATACAATAACAATATAACAAAATTGTTATCACCATACCTCTTGAAATAAGCACAAAGGTATGCATTAAGTTTGTTGTATCCAAAGCACATAATGAAGGAATCAAATCTCTTATAACAACACCTCGGCGCCTGCTTTAGACCGTACAAAGATTTGTTCAACCTGCAAACCAAGTTCTTCTTTTCGTCTTCTTCAAAACCTTCATGCTAGAGTATATAAATCTCTTCTTCAAGATTTCCATGAAGAAAAGTTGTTTTAACATCTAGTTGCTCTAGATGTAAGTTCAATGTAGCACACATTGCTAAAACTACTCAAACTGTTGTTAGTCGAACCACAGGAGAAAATATTTCATTAAAATCAATACCTTCTTTTTCAGCATATCCTTTGACCACCAGTCTTGCACGATATCTCTCCACTTGATCGACACGATTTCGCTTGATTTTGAAAACCCATTTGTTACCAATTGCCTTTATTCCTTGTAGTAGTGACACAAGATCCCATGTATTATTTTTATGAAGGGCTTTAATTTCCTCTTGCATCGCCATCATCCTCAGTGAAGCATCTGAGTTGTTTATTACCTCCTGGTATGTTGATGGTTCACCAACTTCTGTTAAAAGACAGTATGCAATATTACCTTCTATAACATAATTTGAGTGCCAATTGGGACGTTTTCTCACACGATCTGATTGACGAGTTGTTGGAGCTTCAAAACTCTCTGGTTTTTATTCATCATGTGCTACTTCTGCTTCAGAAGAATCTCCTTGTTCAACCTCCTTTTCCACATGTATATGTGTAGTCTCTGACTTTTCAGTGCTACTATCTTCTTCTTTTCTTTGTAGCTTATATTCTACAAAAATAACATCTCTGCTAATGATTACTTTGTGGGCAGTGGGATCCCACAAGCGATACCCCTTTACACCATCAACATACCCCAAGAATTTGCATTTCCTGGATTTTGGATCCAACTTTGAAATTTCTTGGGAGTTGTACATCACGTACACAACACTTCCAAACACATGGAGGTTTGAATAATCAGCTGGTTTACCAGTCCACATCTCTATTGATGTCTTCAGCTCTATTGCAGTTGATGGAGCTCGATTCACCAAATAACAGGCGATATTGACTACTTCTGCCCAGAATGATTTTTCTAGGCCTGCATCCCTCAACATTGCTCTTGTTATTTCTAACAAGGTTATGTTCATCCACTCTGCCACTCCATTTTGTTGATGAGTGTTTGCCACTGTGAATTGTCTTTTGATGCCTTCTTTTCTGCAAAAGTCGTCAAATTCTTCACTTGTGTATTCTCCTCCATTATCTGTTTTGAAACACTTGATCTTATTTCTAGAATCAAGTTCTACCCGCGCTTTGAAGTTTTTGAAAGTTGAAAACACATCTGACTTATTCTTAATAGGGTACACCCAACATCTCCTAGATTAGTCATCAATAAATGAGACAAAGTATTTTGCTCCGCCTAGGGATGTAATTGGTGCTTGCCATACGTCAGAGTGAACCAATTCTAGAACACCTTTGCCTCTAAAATTTGATGTGTTGAATTTCACCCGATGCTACTTACTTGTTATGCAATGCTCACACAAAGGAAGAGATACTTTTGTTAAGCCTGGAAGTAGTTTTTTCTCCATAAGGACTTTCATTCCTTATTCTGACATGTGTCCAAGTTTCTGATGCCATAGCATTGCAAAATCTAAACTACATGAGGCAATAGAGGCTTCTACTTCTAGCAAAGTCTCTCCCTTCAACATGTACAAGTTTGATGCTATCTTTTCGCCTTTAAGCACCACAAGCGCTCCACATAACACCTTCATGATTCCATTATGTGTTTCAATCTTGCTTGCATTATTATCCAACAATCTGTAGGATAATAAATTTTTCTTCAGACCTTTCACGTGCCGCACATCTCGAACAACTTTAATTGTTCCATCATACATCTTCAATTTAATGGTTCCAACGCCAACAATCTCTAAGGCATGATCATTGCAACTATACACAGATCCTCCTGAGACAAGTTCATAATGATGGAACCATTCTTTTCTTGAGGTCATATGATATGTTGCTCCATATCAATGAGTCATATATATGTAAATCTATTTCTACTTTCCACGGTGGTTGACGCTTATCAACATAGAGCATCTCCATCATCTGAAGTGTTTGCGGTATTACCTTGTGGATTTGAGTTTTTATTTAGACTCCAACAATCCTTCTTCAAGTGACCCTTCTTTCCACAGATGTAGCAATTTAAATTCTTCTTGCTTCTCGACTTCGATCTACCATGTTTGTGACTGTTCCTTTGGCCACGTTTTGTTGATCTCCCTCTCACCGTTGTCAACACTGTAGATTTACTTGTCTGTCTTTCTTGTTCTTACACCGATTTTCTTCTTGTAGAACAGCAACTACAACGTCATCGAAGACTAGACTGGTGACATTATTGTTTGTTAAGTTGATGATGAGTTGATCATACGAATCAGGTAGACTTTGAAGTAGAAGTTCAGCACATTCTTGTTCTCCTATTGTACATCTTAAGGATGTAAGCTGAGAAAATAAAGTGTTCAACTTGTTTAAGTGCTCCGTCACTAAAGTAGATTCCGGCATCCAGAGAGTGTACAATTTCCTCTTAAGGAAAATTTTATTGTGCAAGGATGTGGCCTCGTACAATTTGTTGAGATGATCTCATATCTCCTTAGTTGTCTTCTTCTCCTCGATGCTTGACAATACTTCATCTGCTAATGCTAGATGAAAGCTTGCCATAACATTCCCGTCCATTTTGATCCATTTGTTGTCATCTATGAAATCCACCGACCTTTCACTGATAGTTGCTAGACAACCGTTTTTCCTCAGGATTGCCTTCATTTTTAATTTCCACAATGAGAAATTTCTCTCATTGAATTTTTCAATATCAGATTTCGCTGTCATAGCTTATAATACAGATAGTTCCCACTATTTCACTATCGTGAATAGTTCTCTGGAACCTTCAAATAATGGGCAATACCTTCTTACTTTCTTATGTTGGAGGATCCACCTTTTGGTGGCAACCACAAAGACAATAAGCAGATATTACACACTCAAATTTGGCTCGGATACCAATTGTTGCGGAAGACGGTTATCGGATAAAGCAAAATCGCAACTAATAATTTGAGAAAATAAAAATGAATATAAAGAAGACACAAGTTTTACGTGGAAAACCCCTAAATAATATAGGGTAAAAACCATGGACAACGGTAGAAGAATTTCACTATGAGAAAATAAGAATTACAACTTCTATCGATCTAACAAGGAGAAAACAATGATAATTCTCTCTTGATAAAAAGGAGAAAACAACTCTAAAGAAAACTGTCTAAATTCTCTAGTATTGGAGAAAGCTAGAATGATTTGGGATGGTTTTGAAGCTAAATGAGCTAGGGTATTTATAGTTGAAGCTTAAGGACTATTCTTGTAAATACCCTAAAAGTAAAGTAACTAAATTGGGTATTTTACCCTTGCACATTTTCAACAATTACAACTCATTTTTTTGACTCCACCATTCGGTGCATTAATGCACCACCAAAAGCCACCGAAAGTGTTTTGGCCATGTGGCCAACTTGGCTTTTAATTTTCAACAGTGTGAGCATGGGTTAACAGACATTCTACCTTGAAGACCATGCAAAATTATCTCTTCTTTGAATCTGCTAACCGATGGAGTTCCATCCACAAACTCAACAATGGCGATCTCAGGATCCATGAGAACAAACAAAAACAAATGTCCCTTGTAGTTTTTCAGGATGTCCACAAACTTCACAACGGCGATCTAGACGATCTCGAAATCCAAACTTAAGATAAGTATTATGTGTTAACGAATCAAATTCAAATATTTCCGATTCATAGACCATCAGTAAGAAATGCCAAGATGACAAATATGAAGCCAGTACATTGGCGCTTGTTCTCCGAAAAAGATGGCAGCTAGTGGTAAGAATACTAGCCAGCTTAGTGGCTGAAATCTAGGTTCATTGAGGTTGAGAAAGAAATGGAGAGAGAAGGGAGAAAGAAGGAAATAGCAGAAAATGAAGAGAGAGAAAAAAAGAAAAATATTTTTATTTAGACCAAAACATTTTGATTTTCTATAAGATTCAAAAGTACGTCGTTTTAGTGTTGATTGTCACATCTTAACATCGTTAGAAAGTTATCAGTCAAGTGACAAAAAAAACATAATGTGTAAAGTTCAGTAATTAAATTAAAAAAAGTAAAAGTATAATGAGTAAATATGACAAAGAGTAAAATTTAATGGCTAAATTTATAATTTATCCTTTTTAAAATGATCGAATAAAGATAAAAAATATTTTTTTTTTGAATAAAAGTGAAGGCCAAGGTCATTACAATAGAGAGCTAATTGCGAATAAAAATCGAACCATGAAGGTCACGAGAGAGATGAGGGGCGACTTCGTGAGGAGTTTCTATGTGTATGCGTAAATGACCATCAGTATTAGTATTGGATTTGGCAAGGCAATCAGCTGCGGCATTAACTTCACGACGAATGAGGAGAAACTCGACCATCCAAGGTTGTGAAATGAGTCTAGCGATGAATCGAACAAGGGAAATGGGGCTAGAAGAGGCCGTTGAAGAAGACACTAATTTGAAGGCTTCAACACTGTTCATTTGGCATTGAAGTCACTCGATTCTATGGAACTATGCAAGTTGAAGGCCTTCAAAAATGCCCAAGATACCTTTGGTGATTGTGGCTTTGTTGCTCATGGAGATGCATTGATTGTGGATCCAGGATGCCGACGTGAGTACCATGAAGAGGTATGAAATACCTGTTTCTTTCATGGTTTTCCCTCACTTTCTTGAACCAACTAATTTCATTTTGAGCTAACTTCTGCTATGTCACTGAGTTATAGTTTATTTTGTCCAAGTTAACACCTCACTTCTTTGAAAAACCAAAAGGTGCCCTTATCCATGATTTAGTTTAAATAGGATTCTTGGCTGGATTTTCTAGTTTACTCTCAATTAAAGCAATAACCTTTATGCGACCTTGCAGCTTCTCTGGAAATTGTGAAATATCATTTGATTGATCTTTCATTTCAATATAGAAGTTATTTTCCGGAGGCAACTTGATAGTGATTACATAATGTTCAGTTTCATAATTTGATCATGGAAGCAAAATCTGTGCTTTACAAGATGGCTCACACCCATTTCACACTTTACTGTATGGGAGCATTTTCACATTGGATTAGAGTATTTCTATAGCAATTCCTTTGTTCTCTTTTGTCAAAACAAACTAAAGGGTAGATGCTCCAGTAAAATGGGAAAGGAAAATGATCATCTGAAGGATTGAAACTTTGTTTAGCTTAGTAAAATAGATTTTATAACACCTTAGTGATAATGTGATCTTTTTTTCCTTTGGTTATTCAGCTCTGTACTTTTCACTTGATATTGACATAACTGTTTTGTTTGATCAGCTCAAGCAAATTGTAGCTTCCTTGCCTAAAAAGTTGATTGTCTTTGTTACCCATCATCATCGTGATCGTGTTGACGGTCAGTTTCACTAAGTACTTCTAACTAATATCATATGAATTTTGCATTATTTAACCTCTTCATCTATATAATTTACATCATTTATTCAATATTTGTTTGTTGTGAGGCACTTCCCTAAATATTTTAAAGAAAGGGATTTTCCTGTCAATAAGAATATAGATGATAGATTTTGGAATAATTTGGCTAAAAAAAGGAAAAACTAACCCAAGAGTAATTAGGCTGGGTTAGTTGAAAACTTGAAATATAAAGCCTAAACATGAGAATTAGAAAGAGTTCGGTTTGAGGAAAACAATTAGGGGGATATTGGTTGGTTTCTGTTAGTTTTAATCTATTAAGCTTTTGATTTAACAGCATTTACTAATTATATATATATATATAAGAACGATTTTAAAAATTATTTCTTAAACCATTTTGTCAAAAGTTCATTGCACAATCTTATCAAACATTCTCAAGCCTTCAAATTCTGAAAAACATTTTTTCAAAAAAAATGTTTCACATCTTACTAATGTCTTTGAGATATTTAAAACCTGATTTTAGTTGAATTGAAAATGTTTTTTTATGTATTTAAAAACATAATTTTGAGAATTCAAAATCAATTAAACAATTCTGAACTAATTAATCAAAATATGCAATATTGAAATTATTTTTAGAAAAGAATGAAACTCATTAAGCTTAAGGTTTTGTTATATCAAAACAAAGATCAATTCAAAGCTTATGAAGATAAACCTTTCCCCTTATGATAGGACAAGATAAACTTGCTGGTGAAAACTCTCCTAAAATCATTTAAATGTTTTCAATAAAAGTTCCCCTTCAATAATTTTTTTTGCCGTTGCAATTTTGCAAGAATAAGCAAGGAGATTTTAAACTATAAATTTCAATCACCAACACTTGATAATTTGTTGCATTGGAATAGAAGGTGATGCTCCACCACCCAGCGAAGCACTTCCTGCTTCTACCGATGATACTATTGCTCTTGTTGACCATTTGGGTGTTTTTACTATGTGTGAGTATTGTTGTTTTGGATTTTGGATGTTTATGTTTAATCGGATTTTGGTTATTTTCTTGTGCATATTGAATATCTTATGAACTGCATTGTTTTAGATTGATATTCTCCCATTGAGATTGATTGCTTTTGATAAAACATTTGATATTTTCAAATTTCTTTTTCTTTGATTGAGATATTTTCAAATTTCAACAAGTGATATTATGCTTTACTCGCTTATTGATATGCCAAAAATGGGTTGAATTAGAGAAAATGCGCCTATGCTCATATTGTCTATGTAATAATGTATTGATATTGAACACTAGATAAATTGATCACCCAAGTGTGCTTATTATAATATAATCTTCATGCAATTGTGCTTATTGTCTATGCATTGGCAAGGACAGGTGTTTATAGGAATTCCCTGTATTTAACTTGTTGACAATTGGCCTGCTTCTACACTTTATTACAGTGGTTTTTCATAGAATTCATATTGTTTTTCATTTTAAGCCTTTATGGTGTCTGTTGATGCTTCATTGTGTTTGTAGTCTTTTTATCAAGAACTTTTATCAACAATAATTTTTTTTGCTAAGTCGGTAAAAAAATTCTTCATGCGTGAATCTTAAATGTTGGTTGCTTTACGCGGATATGCTTGACTGGCATGGAACTTGAATTTTGAATGAAGTTATTAGTCTTAATAATTTTCTAGATTGATAACTAGCTTATATTTATCCATTTAATGGGATTGATGATTGATGTGAATGAACAATCGGCCTTGTGTTTTCTAGAAGACCAAGGAATCTTCCTGGAAGTACGCTTTAACTGTTTTCTCTTGTATGATTATGAGGCTAATAAGTCACTTCCTATAATGAGGTCCAACAGGCTGCTGACTTCACTATTTATTAAAAAAGGATGTATTTGGAACCATATTTCCATGTTATTTCATAATGTTATACAATCAACGAAGGCTATTCATTACCATTTTCATGCCAACTGAGATTATTTCTTCTGAAGTAACATTCTCTTAGTTTTATATTTATGGTTCAAGTTTCTATACTCTATACTGATTGATGGTTTTCTTCAGGTCTTTCTGTCATCCAAAAATGCAATCCTAATGCTACACTGCTTGCACATGAAAACACTATGCGTCGCATTGGAAAAGGTCAGAAATGGTGTTTATGTTTGAATTCTCATCATTTTATCATTTTCTTTCAAGAGTCTAGCTGCTAATTACACTAATTGGAAAGGACGACCCAACTCTAAATTCACTTTCATTCAGCTATTAATAGAAAACAAAAGACTACTAAACATATTTCCCTTTTCTACCATGCGAGGCAGGTAATTGCCCCATCCAAGCCTTATGGTTCATTGAATGATGGAAATAAGTATATACCCCATTAAACTTGAATAACTTGTCATACATATAATTATTTCACTCAGAACCTTGATTTACATCACAATTCTCTGTCAAGATCATGGTTTGGTTGTGGTCATATGTTGACAGGTGACTGGTCTCTTGGCTATACCTCAGTTTCTGGAGGAGAAGACATTTTGGTTGGTGGTCAGAGATTGACCGTCATTTTTGCTCCAGTATTTCTCTTTTAACTTTCTATCTCCTACAATTTGTTCTTTCTGTTATTTTTTTATAAATGGCTAGGTTGCACTCCAGACGTTGGCCTTGGTCCTACCTTAACAGACACACTGCAAGATAGGAAGAAAAAATGTCACAATTTTGAAGTTGTGATATTGTAATTTTCTTGGAAATTAACTTGCGTATTACTGATCCTCATGTTGTGATATGGTAACTTTGAATGGCATTTATGGAAAACCTTCATTGATGTCCTCATGTAGAAAGGAGTACATAGTTATAACTTAAAATAATGAGCTGCTTTATTAATACTACTTAATTATGGAGGTTTGTTTACTAAGTATTAGGAAGCCCAAGGTGCAGTTCCCAGTTGGCTATTTCAAGATCATAGAGGTGTTTATCAATTAATATGGCATTTGGAAAACGGAATAATAAGAATATATAATCGTGCAGTACTTGGTTAGTTTGTGTTTATATTAACACCTAATGGGCATCTAATAATACAGTTCTTTGTGATCACTAATTTTTTCAATCTCTTATGTGCAATTTGGATGTGCAACTTTCTGTTTTATCTGGATCTAAGAAAAGCATTCTTCTTAATTCAGGGACACACGGATGGCCATGTGGCATTGCTTGATGTTAGTGCTAACTCATTAATTGTAGGCGACCACTGTGTGGGGTAAGATTTTTTTTGTCCAAAACTCTTGAATAACAGGATAGTATAAATAAAAGAATCTAAAAAAATATTCTCTACTTGTTTGGGCATGAAAAGTATGACTTACAAAATATTCTCTTATGAGTGTTCGCATATATTTACTTTGGTGGAAAAGGAAGATTTATATTCTTGTTGATTAAACTAAGGTTGAACCTATGGCCATCATTCAAATTGAAAGGCTTCAATTATTGACATTGTGGTGTTGGAGTGAGAAATCATAAAATTACTGACATTGTTGTTTAAACACCACAAGCACGTGAAAATACTCATTTAAGAAATTAAAAAAAGAAACAGAAACAGATAGAAAGAACTTCCTTTAGTTGTTGAAGTATGATTTGTTAATAAGGTTTTGGAGAAAAGGTTTGTTGCAAAGAAGGTACATGAAGAGTAAAAGAAATGCATATGTTAAAAAGGTTTTGTAATTAGGATTCAACATTAAAATTGTCAAGTAGCAAAATTTTTAGATCCATCTTAAGCAAACACATCCTTCATTCGTTAATAATTAGAACTCATCCTATTTTTTATTTTCTAGTTTAAAAGATATTTTTTGAAGTGATGACATGATAAGATTTTGTTAATATGCTTGCAGTAAAAAGTAGCAGAGGAAGCCTTCTTTAATTTTTCATTACTTACAATTTGTTATTTTCTTTTCAAAAACTTTAATCTTGGTTAATGAACAGAGCAGTTCCGTCAGGCTGGTTGTGAACTTTATGGTGTGGGTGTGTGACTTAAAGCCCATCCAATCTTGTGAATCTAAAATGATTAATAGCTATGGTTTGAGATTGGCCTGTAGCTTTTAAAGGTTTTTAACATATGAAAGTTTACATATCATCCAATTATGTTCCTATTCTACAATGGGTTGCAGAAGGTGGTGTTACTATACTTGAAAAGATGAACCCATGCAAAATGACTTGATTCTGAACCTAAACTAATAACATAGGCTTTTCTATTCTTAATTCTTATTTTCTTCATGGAACTCCCTTGCTAATACTCCTGTGGATTTGTCACAGTCAAGGAAGTGCTGCTCTGGACATTACTTCTGGTGGAAACATGACTGTAAGCACATTTGAAAGCCCTGGTGATTTTTTTTGCATACTAATTCAATGGAAAATTCAATAACCTTTATCTATCATATTTCAGTGTTTTCTACTGATTTATTTTTTGTTTCCTATTGTTTAACTAAACATTAGCTGAAGTTTTCCTTCAATTGTATTTGAAGTTATATGTTATGGGGGAACATAAAAGCCGCCCCCTTGGCCACGCCAATTTTTTTAATTATTAATTAATATTAAAAAAATATATTTTTTAAAAGAATAAATAAAGAAAAATTTATTCATCTCCCCTCAATTAAAAAAAATTATATTTCTGAAAATTAAAAAAAATACTTTAACCCCACCTTAATAAAGAAAACTTTATTCGGCCCCCTCAATTTAAAAAAATTATATTTATGAAAAATAAAAAATATTTTAACCCCCGCCTTAATAAATTCCTGGTTCCGCCCTAAAAGGTATATGGAGAGTGTTATAGTTAACTAGAATTTTATTTTCTGAAACAAGACCATAACAGAGTTGAGATTGGCACATAATAAATGTATTCTTGCAGAAATTTCTGCTGTTTTGCTTCTTTTAGCGTCAAAACTTTAGTAGTTGGGTTCAATTTGCTGCGCCTAAATAATACCCTAACCTTTACATCTATACCGGTAAACCCTTAACCTTTTGATCTGTATCAAATACCTTGGTAGATGGACTCGACTATGAGCGTCGTATACAAGTATACTCAAATTTTTATAAGGTTTTCCATATATTTGGAGAATCATAACCTCGTATTTATGTCCGATTATGTGCTGGATATGAGTGTTGAATACCAATACTTTAGGGAAAATGAGAAATTGGAGCAATAAGCCCTGAATATAAATCAATCTTTTGTTTGAAACAGGAACTTATTCAGGTACAAATGGAACATGAGGGCTTACTTAAGAATTGTATAATAGTCCGGTAGTTGCTTTAGTATTTTAGCCTAATAAGTTTTTTCTTCTACTTGAGCCTTATTGTATAACATTGTTTCTGAATGAAATTTCTACATTATATGCAGGAATACTTCCAAACAACTTTTAATTTTTTGAAGCTTTCACCCCATACCTTGATCCCCATGCACGGGAGAGTGAACATGTGGCCAAAGAACTTGCTTTGTGGATATCTAAAGTATGAAGCAATCTTTACTACTTCGATTACTACCGCTCTACCTTGATCAATTCAAAATCTATCTTGGGACATCAGAAAACTCGTTGAGTCTAAACAATTGACAATTAACATTTCTCGTCTCAGAATTTCTTTTTCAAGTTTCTTGTTTTAGTTTGATGATATCATTCATAGGTACTTGGACAAAGTTTTGCAATGTTGACAATTAAAAGTTAGGCTGATAGTTATTATATACATAAACTCATTTTTTGTTGGATAATTTGACTCTCTAGCGTCATGGAATTGCAAACAACATAGAATTTTATAGAGAGATTCCTTCTTATCAGGAACCGAAGGAGCAGAGAAGCAAGCATTTTGAAAGCCATAGAAAATGGAGCAGAAACACTGTTTGACATAGTTGCTAATGTGTATTCCGGGGTTGATCACAGTTTCTGGATTGCTGCTGCGTCAAATGTCAAGCTACGTGTGGATCATTTAGACCAGCAAAAGAAGTTACCAGAGGTATTTTTCTTATCAGATTTTAGGATAAATTCTTCTTCCTATGCTTATAATCGATTGCATATTTTCATAAAACTGCACTCAGTTGGGAGTCGTCATTTTCCTCATCTCTAGCATGTAACTATCTTTTTATTTTTGTTTGATTATTATAGTTATATAAAATCAAATCAAAGTAACTGTACTCATATGGACTAAGAAAATGTTAGATCAATTACGTATCTTAATAGTCTTTTGCAGGTCATTTAGTTATACATGAATCTCCAGCATTCTTTATGCTAAAATACTAGTGGATATTTCCTTCTTTTCCAGAAGATATATCTGAAATTGCTGGAATCTTGACACCATGATCAAATAGTTGAGTATTTTCTAAAGCATGCCTTCAAATGATTATCTTCCTTTATTAGTTGGTGTTGGGTGGTGTTATCTCACATTGGTTACTCACGTTAGGTGTTCTATGGTCTTAGATTCTAAGATGGGTCTCTCCATATATAGCCAATCGGTTTTAGGTTAGATGTTTAAAGTGGTATTAGCTCCCAAGGTGGTGGTATTCTCGTTGCCTCTTGTGAGTTTGTAATGTAGTGTGCCCTTTAGTATGGTAGTAGATTTCATTTAAAATGGTAAAAATAGGTTCCAAGGGGTAACTAGGGTTTGAACCCTCTGTGTTGATTTGACATTTTAAATTACCTCAACATTGAGCCATCACAGAGAATACTTGGAGAGTATCATAGTTGATTTTAACACATTTAACTAAGAAGCATATAATTTGAGATGGTCAGCCAAAATACATCAAGGAATTTCCTTTATGCTCCGTTTCGAAAACCTATGCTGCTTATAATTGGATATTCATTTTGGATTTAAAATTATTAGGATCAGCATTTCAGTGTCTTTACATTATTGAGACAACTGCAACCTTTACTGTGAGAAAAAAGCAGGGCTTCTCGATGGAAAATTTCGTTGACAGTTTCGTTGAGTTTGAGAGCCAAGTGTCTGCTCTTGACACAGACCCTGGAAAGCTATGACTGTGGACCACAACTCACCTACATTCTCTATTGGATGGCCTTCTTATATATGCAGCTTCTCTGATTCACCTAAAAACTTGGTACATTTTACATGCAATTATAATGTCCTGCCAGATCTGAACTAGTTTCATTATCGAATAATAGAAACTCACGAGGGATATTTAATTATATATATATTTTTCTTAGACTGATTCATGTTTTATCATAAATAAGCTACCGGGATGGAAAGATTCGTTATCGACTTACTGTTGCTGAATTGAATCATGTAGGAATTTTCTGTTCAGAAGTTGCATAGAACTTGGGCACCTTTCTTTGTGAGGTGGACATGTGCATGTCTTAGAAGCAGGTGTGTGAAGCTGAAGATGCCTAGTTTGCTTATTACTGGGACGTTGGTTGGCATTGCTTGGTATTTACTCGATAAAAAGCATGCTTTGATCCGAGTGCAAAAGGGAAAGCGGACATGATTTGGATATTTGGAGTTGGCTAGAGGCCCTGGCAGCATTCATCTACTGGTAAATCAATAATCAGTTGTTTTCGAATGGCCAAAAATGGGTTGTTGCAGTAACTTATGGTAGATATTTATGAATCGTGATATTGATGTATTGGATTTCAGTTCAGAAACGGTAGCATCTTTATTTTTTTAGTATAATCACTGATATCTAATTTATTAATCGATTAATCTATATCGGATATTGCAGAAGATTAGGGACGTTCCTTCTAAGGTATTGCTGTTAATTGTCCTTGTTCAAATTCAATAGCTTTTAAACCGGAATTTAGTTTCTGCTCGCAACAACGATGCGTTCATTACTTGGTTGAGATCGTTTTAGGCGCCTAATTTGCATCACATTATTTTTTTTATTCAACAATGACAACTGGATTTCACTAATAAAAACAATGGAAGGAATCGGAATTATAACATATTCAAGCATTAAGAGAATAATGGGAGACAATAGTCACCGGAAAAACTTATACAAAAATAAAAATATTTTTAATTAATCACCGATATGCGATCTATTGATCGACTAATTCAGATCGGGTACTGCAGAGGTAAGAGTGATCTTCCCAACTTGGTTTGCTCCATTTGTAAACGCCAAGGTTTAAACTAATCAAAAAAACAAATGTCATGAAGTCTTTGTGCAAGCACCAAAACAACTGTAAAGGTAGGGACGGAGCTCCCTTAAGGCCCTAGGAGGACCCAACCCCTGTTAAAATTTATATATTCGATATAATTTTAATTTAATAGTATTTTGATTCATGTAAAAATAAAAATTTAAATTTAAAATATATAAAAAATATAAAAATATAAAAATTTATAAAATATTTAATCAAGTAGGGGTCGAACTAAAGAATGATAAGTATGTGTTCTAAAATTTTTGGTATAATTATAATTTAAGTCATTGTAAGTTTAAATATTAGATATATTAGTTGTCTTTTGAGTTTTGAATTTTTTTTATTTTTTATTTAGGGTGAATACAAGGTAATATATGTACAAAGACCTTCAACTATTTGACAATAATCGCTCATACCCCTACATGCGTGCTTGAACTCGGGACCTCAAGGATAACAACAATCCCTTAATCACTAAGGTCGCTTGGTTTATGCTGAATTTAGATGTTAAATACCTAACAAGTCTTTATATTTTTCTTAAATAGTCTAATATTTCGGCTCCTACCAATATTTAATTATAGCTCCGTCCCTGTACAAAGGTATGCGAAAAGCATACCAAAAGTCATAAGGATCGTGCCACAAGAGTAGAGAATACGTGTCACGAAAGCAGAGAAAAATATGTCACAAGAACATAGATTCTTATTTAAAATTGAAAAAAAAAGAAAGTAAAAAAAGAAAAGACATACAATGAAAAAACAAAAGAACTAATAACCACTGACAGTCAGTAATCAATATTAGGATTAATACCGTTACTAGCTAAATAAAAACCAAAGGAATAAATGAATAGGATAAAAAAATATTAAGATAAAATCTAGATTAAAAAAAGTGCATCACATTATCTTAATGAAGTATCATAAACTAGAGATAACGAAGCAATTTGAAATGACTTTTTAACAAAAGAAAGTCTCCTCTAACACTAATAATTAGACAACTCATGTAAACTAGTGTAATTAACATGTTTCTCCACAAAATAAAACAACTTTATTAGAGTGGTAAACATATTTTTGTACCAAAAAAAAAACATTTTTTTGGAGTGGGGTCATACATAAACATTCATTTTCCTTCCCCTATGATTAGCGATATTAAGGTGTACAAAAACAACACTGATTTCCCTTTGCTGAGTTGTTCTTAGGGATGGCAAACGGGCGGGTCAGGTACGGATATTCCCTCCCCCATCTCCATACCCACCTAATATTTTTCAATCCACCACCCGCCCACCACCTATGATGGGTATAAATTTTCAAATCCACACCCGCCCACGTAGGTACATTTTCAAATCCACACCCGCCCACGCGGGTACATTTTCAAATCCATCCCCACACCCACTACCCACTAGCGACATACCCATCTAGACCCGCCTGACATCAAACTAATGTGATGTTGGAGTTGGTTCCCAGACAGTTCGTGATGGGATAGCAGCGCATGCTTCAATTTGTCAGAGGAGTGGCTCTACGAATGTTATGGAGACAGATTGTAGGGAGAATGTAGTCGCAGAGCTGGATTGTTGTGTTGCTTTCGATGTTAATGCTCATAGTGCGCCTAATATGGGTTTTGAGGGGCTAAAGAACATGTAAACTGCTGCTTTTGATGTTAATGCTTATAGTACGGCTAATTTGTGTTTGGATGGACAGCATGGGCTAAAGAACATAGAAAGTGACGTGGTTAGTGGGATTATGGGTTTAATCAAAGAGCCGAATATTTCCCATATTAAAGACTAAATATCCTTAATATTTGGTTAAATTATATGTTATATATTATACAATATTAAAATTTATAAATTAGTCTCTAAAATTACACCTAAATTCATAATGGTCCAAAATTTAATAGATATTTAGCTGGGCGGGCGGATGTGGGGCGGGTAATGTCTCAAACCCATTACCCGCCCACCACCCCGACGGGTACCACTTTATAAATCCACACCCGTCCACTACCCGCTAAAATTATACCCATCACAGCTCCAATTGGAGCGGATGCGGTGCGAAATCCACGAAATTGTATATGTTTGCCGTCCCTACAGTTGTTCTCTGTTTGCTGAGGTGAACATAAATATTTTTTAATAATTGATCATATTTATTAATTATAGAACATGTGTATGTAACAATAATATATTTATTAAATTATATCAAAAGATAAAAATTTATATACAAAACTATATAAAATCAAAATTTTCATTTAACGCTATCTATTTCATTAAGATTTATTTATAATTTTAAAATGTTCAAATAAACTTTTCACCCACCATGAATCAAAATCTGAGGATGGGTAGGGTGTAGAAGATGTTAGGCGTTTCGTGACATTTGACAACCAATAACAAAGTTGGATGTGTAATGTAATAGCAAAGGATGGAACATAAGTTGTGGCAGCACGTGAACCATTCCAAAACCCCAACCGAGTGGTGTATGACTTTCAAAATTATTATAGAAATAAAATTTTAAAATAAAGTATAAAAATACAATTTAAAATTTAACTGTTTGAGATTACAGTTAAAAAGTGTGTTTGAAAAGATAAAATATTCATTATATACATTATATTAAAAAGTGTGTTTGAAAAGATTTATTTATATACATTATGTTATAAATTAAAAATATTTTAATATATAAATCATGAGTTTTATTTACTTTTAATAATTAAAATAAATTATTAAGTAATAAATTATTTTTTAAGGATGTTAGTATTAAATTATAAAAATATAAATATAAATACAGAATTGAGTAAAATCCATATATTAATAAGGATAAAATTATCATTTGCTTCTAAACGTAAAATTAAAAATGAAAAATTTAAAATTCTTAATTTTTACAGTTGGTTTGAATCCACTATTTTTATCATAATTTTTTTATTTATTTAACATTAATTTAACTATCAAAATGAATTTTTAACTAAAAGTACTTTAAAAATATTACCAAACCACAATTAGTCAAAACCCACAAAGAGTAACGTGTAAAACATTGTTCATTCGCAAACACAAACAAAATTTTCGGACAAACAAATGTGAACAAAAGAGAGTTGGCCCAATACCAATATTCGGATGTGTCCGCCTACCCATCTTCCGACCACCTAGGAGGTGGTGCGACTCGGGGACCACCCACCAACACCCAAATCATGAACCCACCCAAATTAATTTCGATGGTAGTAGTTTTTTTTAATGATTAATACAGGTTGGATATTGTAGGGATGATGACGACTCTTTTAATTTAGTTTCCTCCATTCGTAAACGTTATAATTTAAATATTTGATTTTATTTAAGAGATTTACTGACTCATCTCACTAGATCAACTGATTATTTATAATCGTTTGGTTTATTTTAATTGTGGGTTGTGGTAGGTTAAGTCTGTTTATAAAACTTATAATTTAATTAATCAGATCAACTGATTTTATTTAACTTCAGAGGTTTAAATACTTTGTAAGCGAATGAGGTGGGACCACGTCAAAATATAAGTGGTGGAACAATTCCCTTTAGTGTCCACCACAAATTCTTCCCTTTATTTTATGTACTTCTCTGTTCGCAGTGATATCACTCACCGCCAAACAACCACAACCACAATCTCCACAGACCAAAGTTGCCTCGAGGACAGCATACATTATTTAAAATAGAGAGAGAGAGAGAGGATGAAAACAAAACTGCATTTAATCCATAAATTTGATAATTCTATCAGCTTAGTCCTTGAATTTTTTTTTCTAAATTAGTCCCTGAATTTGTATTTTCTGTTATTTTAATGATGTAACACCTTAATGTTATATAGTTTGACATAATATTAGAATACCATATTAGAGACACACATACGATTTTATGTTAAGATAACACAAAAAAATTAGAAAGGATAAACTTATAAAATTTCAAGGGATGACGAAAACATTCTTCAATATAAGATATATAAAAAAATATAAAATATATAATAATTTTAAATTTTTAAGAGACGACTATCACATCACATCAAGAGATTAAATGTTGATTTATTCATCTTAAAAACAAAAGCGTAAAATAATCATAGATAATTAAACTATATTAGTTAATTGTTAACTTTTTAAAAGTTATAAAAATATTTATTAAATTTTCTAAATGATTAGGAAATAATTATCAATCATTCAATTTTATTAAAATATTAAAAAATATCATTAAATTTTTAATATAATTTTTAAAATAAAAAACATATAAAAAGGATGAAATGAATAAGTTTTATTAATTTGACCATGACTAAAACTAGAATGATCCATGATATAATTTTTCAAACTCATCCCCTGGTGAAGCAGTTTTATGAATAAAAACACCAATGTTATGGCCTTTGCGTTGCTGACTCATCCATCCCATCTCAATCTGACGTGGTCCAGAATATTCTGCACCATGAACCAATTGTTATCTTATCTGCCATCTCAGCACCAACAATTTGCTTTTGTTTATTTCTCTGTTGCCTTTAAATCCCCAGGCTACCCTTCTTCTCAAACCTCTTCTTATCTTCTCCTTCACTCTCCAAAACTCTCGCTACCATTTATTTAAAATTTTATTTCCATTGATTTGTTCCCATTTTTTAACATAAGGCAGTGTTTGGATTCAACCATGGAAATTTCAGCTATCAACAGAATAAGCGATTTTGAAGCTAGCATAACCTTTCTAAACAACCCATCATTTCTTTCCCAAATTTATGCCCTTTCTTGGTTTCAAGCTTACCATTTTTGGAAATGGGGAGCTTTGATTCTTGTCCTACTAGCCTCCTTATCTACCATAATCAATAGACTCAATATTTTGATCATCAGATCCCGACGAAACCGTTCTTTAACCAACCAACCTCTTCTTTACGGCACTGATTTCGACACTGACACAGACAGCTCCTCTTGTTCATCATCGGACGACGAAGGAGAATATGACGAGCCCTCCGCTTCTCAAAACTGGCGACAAGTCGATGAGGATTTTCGAGTTAGGGGGTCGGGTCATTTCATCGACGATCAGTGGAGGAACGGTCGTTTCACGCTTCGGAAGAGGAGAAGCAGCATCGGCGATCTATTTTCTTGGGCTGAAGAGCTAACCAGCGGTAAAAGCGTGGTGAAGCTCTGGGATAATCTCGGATTAGGGTTCCGTTTGGACCTCGATGAAAGCGATAATGTTTTGAACGTTTACGACGTTAACAAGGAGACGAGAATGGGGTCTATTTTCGGGGGGAAGAACGAGTTTCAGGCGGTTTCGGCTTCGTCGCCCGCAGTTGTCGTATCCGCCGGCGCCGATTCTTCAACTGGACGAGTCGCTGTGAGTGTATGGGACACGCGCCTTCATTGCCGGGGACCGGCGATTCTCACAGAATGGAGCCCCAAAAAACCAATGGAGAAAATCTCAGCGGTTAATGCTGACGGAGTCGATAAGGTTTACATCAGGGATCACGTGACGGGGACGTTAACGGTTAGTGATATGAGGAAGGCTAGCTCGCCGTTAAGCAACGTAACGAATTCCGACGTGGATACATGGTGGGATGCTGACGCCGTCATCGTCTCGGACGAGTCGGTTGACGAGTCAATGGGACTCAGTTAACCCCGTTTATTTTGAAAGAATAAAACCTGATTAAAATGTGAACAACGAAAATTCTGAATGGTGGAAGGACGCCTTTGTAAATATTCATTTATCATAATATTTATTTTTATTTTAAATAATATTAATATAATTGGTATTACGTATCTTATCTTGTAATGCGGAATATTTTTTATGTAAATTATGATAGTTAAATTATTTATAACCGTTTAATTCTTGAATTAAAAAATTATTAAATATATTTGAATTTATAATTTCATAAATATTATAATAATTTTAAGGGAAAGAGTTCCCAAACTTTTAGATATTTGCATTTTGACCACATAACTTTTAAAACTTACAATACAGTCATTAAACTATCAAATGAACTTGGGACTTGACATACCCTAAGCTAGAAACCTAAATGCCATTTTATTTATGATATTTTATAGTTTGAGATTAAAACGAAAGGGGAAAAAAGAGGAAGTGGACAGACAGATAGAAAGAGATGCACGTAGGGTTACATGCCACATTACTCTCAGCATTCTCTTTTGATTACTTTTCTTTCAAAACTGAAACGCCAAAGTGTAATGTGAATATCTTTCTCTCCCTATAAAGATCAGTTCATTGCCTTGTTCTTATTTCTTAGTTCTTCTCCTCGTTAACATTTTCTTTGTCTAAAAGTAAACGAGTTGATTGGTTTCTACTCCGAAAGTTTTTGACTTTGTATTCGAGTTGATTGTCTGCAAGTTAACTCTGTCTTCATGTTGTTCTAACTTGCTTTTGGATGTTAAAGTGTGTGTTTACCATTTGTTTCGAAGCTTTTATCTGAGGTTTTGGGAATATCTCATCATTTAAATTAATGGTGGAAACAACTTCAACCCTACGTGAGCTTGGTTAACGCATCGGCAATGTGTGCAATAGAGAAAGGAATGAAAGGTGAGAGTACTACTTTAAATTTCATTGCAGAGATTGCAGCTGAACTGTAACGAGAGAGAGCGAAAAATGCACAGCTTATGGAGTGAATAACTGAATATCATCACTTGAAGCTCAAACATAACATAGGGACAAGGAATTTTTTGCAGCTTTATGGAGGAAGAAGAAGAAGTTGCAGCTTTATGGAAGAAGAAGAAGAAGGGTTAACGGAGTTAACGTGCCACGTTAGATAAAAATAACGGGAGGTAACGTCGAGAATTTTACTGAAAACAAACTAAAAGTTCAACGACTGTATTGCAATTTTTAAAAATTGGGTGACCAAAATGCAAGTATCCTAAATATTAGGGGACTATTTATATACTTTACCCTAATATTAATTAGATTGATATTTTTTTTGTAAGAAACTAGATTGATACTTAATCAACCGAATAGAGTAAATTTTGAAATTTGATCTTTGTAAAAATAAATTTAAATTAATAAATTATGGATGTCGAAAATTTGATTCGGTTAAGATATTGGAAATCTTTGCCTGAGCTCTCTTAGGGACCAAGTCACAAGCTTATGTATAGCAAAAGTAATATGCCCCAACGTTATGGGCACGTTGAAATTGCTACATGTTTTTGTTGCAATTCAGTTCAGCTATTCTTTTATACATACTAAAAATTGTGACACCGAATTAAATACAATAAAAGATTTTTTTTAAAAAGATGATAAAGTCAAAATAATAATAAAATTATTAAAATTATGTAAAAGTCAAAATATTAAAAAAATATGAAAATATTTTTTGATGATTAGAAAATGCTTTTTAAATATTTTAAGAAGGTCTTTGAATTTTAAAATTAGTGAAATTAAACCCTTAATCACTTTATTTTTATGATTTAATTACTTTTTAAGACCATATTTGTTTTAAAGTTAAACACTTAATCCCCTCATAGTTCAATCATAGCTTTGTCTCTACACGTCATACAAAATTAAATATTTATTTTGAATAAAAAAATTAAGAGCTTAAAATAAAAATAAAAATATAATTCAAGAACTTAGTTTGACCAATAAATAATTTGAATACTTAAAATGATTATATATAATAGTTTAAATAATTATTTTAACTAAAAAATAATTTAATGAATTAAAAAAAGTAAAATATAATTTAAGGATTTTTTTAGTTTAGGCCTTCAAAAAGCTTAATGTAAAAAAAATTCAAACTGTACTCTAAGTTAATTTTAGGTGTTTAAAAAAAAATTTCGTTAAAAGTAAGTGTCCAGTGTTTTCTCCGTTACACTTTTTGATGCCTAACATTTTATCTGTTATGCTTTTAAAGGCCCACACATTAACGGTTGTTAAAAAATCTGGTAAGTGAGACATCTCATGTTTCTATTTTAGCTTAATGTAAAAATATATGTCCAAACTATACTTTAAGTTAACTTCAGATGTTAAATGTTTTCGATGTTACACTTTTAGGAGTTCATGTTGTAACAACTGTTAAATTCAATCGTGTTTATATATATATATATATATATATATATATATTTAAATATTTATTTTAAAATATATATAAACATGACACATGTCACTTAATATTTTATATCAATCCTTAAACTATGACTTTCATCTTAAATTGTTCTCTAAATTTTAAATATTTTATATTAATCCTCAAACTATCAATATCATTCTATTTTAGCCGTTAATTTTACTGAATAAAAAAACCATTTACTTTTAGAAATCCGAGAAATTAGAGAGCCTAAAACCAAAGGCACTAGACATCCCGACACACAATGACACAAAAATACATCAGAAGAGAACAACAATATATAAACAAAGTTCGTAAAGGCCTCTACAAGGCAATTTTCTGATTGAAACTAGGCATTTCAACATTTGTAAGAACCAAGGATAAACGGATCGTACCCTTAAAAATTTTAAATTCTTTTATATTTTAATTTTTTTTATAAATTTTATTAATTATCTAATTTTACATTCATACAAATTTTTATATAACATTTTAAATTCGTACTTTTAACTTAAATTTTTACATCTATCTTTAACATCAACCAAGCTGCAATGACATGAGAAGTTCCCAAAGGTGGTATTCAACTCAATGCCACTAGCGGCAAGAATACAAACACGCAAATTGGACTGTAAAAAAGAAACCCAAATGCAAGCTTGTCAACTTCACAATTTATACGCGTAGAAGCAAGGACCACATAAGATTTTATGTTAAAAAAATATTTAAAATTTTTTATAGAATAAAAATAAATTATTAATAGAAAATAAATAAAATCTAATATATATATATATAAATTTAAAAATTTTAAGGATGATCACCTCTATATCCACGGGTGCATTTGAGTGCCGGCAAATGAAGGGTCATCGTCTCCATGTCCAACTTCCAAAGCAATCTCCTCGCCAATTGACTATGCCTTGGTGCTTGAATCAAGTTCATAGAGGACATGTAAAATGGATTCACTCGTAGTTCTATATGGAGGGCATGAAGGTACAAATCCAAAATAAAAATCTTTTATCAATAACCTTAAATTACACAAACTAAAACATTAATTTTTTAATAGTTTAGGATTATTATAATTTACACGGTAATATCTATTTAAAATCTTTTTAAATTATTGATAATGCATACATACACTATAAATATGATTACTCGAACAAAAAATATTAGAATAAATAATACTCTTTTTAACTATTTAATTGTCTTAATGAATTGTAATACGTATTTAAATCTATAAAATTTGTAAGTGAAATATTTTTTTTTCTTGTAAGGTAAATTCAAATGTTAGTGGATTGAGAAAAACTGTTTCAAAACACACTTTTTCAAGTTTTAATTTATTTTCGGTAACGTGTTTTATTGTTATTAAAAAAGAAAAAGAGCACGTGGATCTACCTCGAGCAATAATTTAAGGTAAGTGGGCAGGAAATGTAATAAAATGCAATTGGTTCTATTCCGCTTTTCCGTCCAAATGCCACAATAATAGTAAACCCACGACAACTTGCAGCCGACTATTTAGAGTTCCGCGCGTCACCAAACCGTCACTCGGAGGCCGAAGCCGTTAGCCATGGATCTCTATTTAACTTTCAGATCCCGATCACCTCTCCTTCAATCGAAACTCAACTCTCCATCCTTTCATCCACGATCAATCATCTCGATTCCCTTCGCTTCTCCCAAACCACCGCTTCAACCTCGTGGAACTCGTCGCCTCACGGTGGCAGCCGCTGCAGCGATGAAGAAGACGATCGAGGGCGTCAGCGAGGAGTTGAACTCCATTGCTTCACAGAATCTCGACTACGCTGCTGCTCGTAGAAGAGTTCGATCTGCTTTCGTCCCAGTCCACCAGCAGCTTGATCATCTCTTGTTCAAGGTTTGTTTTTATTTTTACTTAGCTGGCTCATTCTGGTTGAGAGTCCCTATACCACTTCAAAAATTTTAAATTTAATCCTTATACTTTAGCTTCATCTCTAAAATAATTACACTTTAGTTTTTGTTATTGTATAACAGTAGCTAATACATGCTTTCTTATTATACTTTTTTCATGGGGGAAATATATGGGACTGGTGGCAGATGGCTCCTGCTGGTGTAAGAACAGAGGAGGTAGGCGTTTCTTTTATTTATTTGAATTTGTCTTTTGTTATTGTATAGCGGTGGATATAATAAGTGCTATTGCGGTTAAGCACTAACGGTTTCAACAACACCATTATTGTTATACGACGACCATTATTCTGATAGCGGGCCATTATTGACGGTCATTATTCTGATGACGGACACTATTTAATAAAGTTTAGAAATTTGAACTTAACAATCTTGTTTTGACGTTTCTTTGTAGTGGATCGAGAGAAATTCAAAGGGATTGGAGATTTTCTTTAGACGATGGATTCCAGAACCTGGGGTTAAAATTAAGGGTACTGTGTGCTTTTGCCATGGATATGGTGATACTTGTACTTTCTTCTTTGAAGGTCAGACCTTTTATCATGGATTCATATTGTAAACTTTATTTCCTGTAGTTGAAACATGTCATAGGACTTTGTTTGACGTATTGAGAATTCTGAATTACAGGCATTGCTAGGTTCATTGCGGCATCCGGCTATGGTGTTTATGCTATCGATCATCCTGGATTTGGCCTTTCCGAAGGATTGCACGGTTACATCTATAGCTTTGATGAATTAGCTGGCAATGTCATAGAACAATATGCAAAAATCAAAGGTATGCAATTTTGTCAATAACTTTGTCATGCATTGTTGCACTTTTACATTGGAGTGGTTGATATTCAGAAAGACCTGAAGTGAAAGGATTGCCCTGCTTCATATTGGGACAGTCCATGGGTGGAGCTGTTACACTCAAAGTCCACTTCAAGGATCCACATGGATGGGATGGAATGATCCTTGTAGCCCCAATGTGTAAAGTAAGTTCAAATCCAGTGCTGTATCTGACCCTTTTTTTGCTGTTTCATGACATCTGAAGTTCACATTCTGTATCTGAGGTTCGATACTTTTGTCGCGGATTAGATCGCAGATGATGTTAAGCCTTCGGAACCGGTTGCGAAAGTTTTGACCTTTCTATCTAAAGTTATGCCAACAGCAAAGTTTGTTCCACAGAAAGATCTAACTGATTTGATGTTCAGAGATCCAAGGAAAAAGAAGATGGTTAGTCAATGTTTCCTTCAGTCACCTTGTATGGAGTAGCTTATATAGTTTTGATGATCAAAAACTACCATTTTAATTCATCTGCTTTATGATGGTGTTGTATCATGTCTTCTCCTTCAAGGCTGTGTACAATGTGATTTGTTACGATGACCGGACACGACTGCGAACAGCGGTTGAACTCCTGAATGCCACAAAGGAAATCGAGAAGCAAGTAGAGAAGGTGGTTTCCCGACTAATTAGCTTCATATGCTGTTATATTTCTCATTATGCACAGCACGCCGGATGCTTCTGCATTGCTGCAATCTACATTGGTTCTACATTTGCAGGTCTCGACTCCACTGCTGATTCTTCACGGAGCTGCGGATAAGGTAACGGATCCAGCGGTGAGTCGTTTTCTTTATGAACGCGCCTCGAGCAAGGACAAGACATTGAAGCTGTATGAAGAAGGGTATCACTGCATTCTGGAAGGGGAACCTGATGACAGAATTTTAACTGTCCTTAATGATATTATTTCATGGCTGGATGCTCGGTGCTAGGTTTTGATGCAACTATTGTAATTGGACTGAATTGACTGAGGTGTGGATTGGCTGATCAGCAGGTTACTTCTTTTATCATAAAGGTGGACAGTCTATTCCCTTTACTATTTAATTTTTAAATAAAGAGAATTTTTAGTGGAGAGGGCCACTTTGTTCAGGTCAACGTTCTATAATTTCCAAATGTGAAATGGTTCGAATAATACTTTACCTTATATTGTATATGGGTTGACTGAATCACACATCTTTAAATTGTAGTTTCATTCTAATATAATTCTCAAACTTTTAAATATTTCAATTAATGATTTTAGTATATAAACTCATTTGACTAAATATTAGTGTTATGTATAATTGACTTAAATTTTCAAACTTCACTTTTGTAAATTATTTTAATTCATATGATACAAATAAATTTATCTCAGTGGTTAAAGGAATTATTGTTGTTCTTAAATGTTGTAGGTTCGAGCATCAACGATTGCAAGGGTGATTGGGTGTTAATTGTCAAATGGTTGAAAGTATTTAAAACAGATATTACATTGTAATCCCCATAACTTAATAAAAAAATTCATATGTATTAATTAATCAATTTTCAATTATCTTAAATTACTTAATTTTGGTAAAAGATTTTGAAAAAAAAATTATAGGTGGTTATGATGATTCAAATCTGATACTCTTCGACCTGTTAGATATTTTGAGTCGAATATATAATTTTATTAACATAAGATAAATACAAAGTAGTATCTATTTAAATATAATTCTCAATTATTTAATATTTAACTCTTAACCATTTAATTTATCAATGTGTTGTTTATTTTTAAAATATACCATTTTTTAAGGCTATGAATGAAAATAAAATAAAATAAAAAATGATGCGTATGAATTGATATTTTTATATGATATTTTTAAATATTAGATTAATTTTCACATCATCCATTTAATTAAAGGTGATAATATAAATACCTACTTATTTGAAAATTAAAAGTATTTTAATCGTCAATTAAGTATCAGTTTAATTGACACTTCTTTAAAATTATAAGTTTGAATGTACTCAAATATAGTTACATTTGATTTAAGAATTTGAAAAAAATTATGAATTAGGTATTGTATAAAAAATATATTTAATTTTTATAAAAATATTTTACAAAAATTTTAAAATAGCAAAGTGATATAATAAAGTGTAACAGATGGACTAATTTCACACATCAAACAGGAGTTTCTCATGCCTCGTGTATGTGAGGAAATTTTAAAATACTGTAAGGTTAAATATGATAAACATTTGTTACAACCGAAAATCTTATTAAAAGTTTAAATTTTTAGGATAAATAGAGTAATTTTTTTAGGTTGCATCAGTTATAATTAAAAATATTATATTTTTTATAATATTTTTCATTTGTATACCTCAAATCCGCGTAATATAATTTTTCGATCAACCAAAACCGTTATAAATTTATATAACTTTTTAGATTAAACATAATAATATCGAAATTAATTTAAATTATCTTTAAATTACGTACAGCAGAACTATACGTGGTGAGAAAAGTGAGTAAAAATTTACTTGTGAAATACTTGTAATTCTTGCCGGTTTCCCAAAAGGACCCAACCTCTTTTCCTCTCATAAGCCATAGGCTCAGTCTCTCAGACCCTTTAACATCTTAAGCTTTAGCCTTTCTAGTTTTACACAAATATATATATATCATTTAGCAGTTTTCTTTTTCATGTTTTCGACATCTCCAAGCATGCAGTCAGAGACAAATGTGTATTGCATGAGAGCATATAAAATCATAGGACTAGTGAAACTACAGCTGTGTTTATGTTTTTCTAACATGTGTATGTATGTTTGTTTGTTTTTAGTCCGTGGATTTGCAACTCAAACCCACGTCTCTTTCTCAAAAGACATTTCCATGCCTGCATGAAGCTTCAGCGTTTCTCTCTTGCCTGCATTATTACGCTACCTTCAAACCCCACTGATACTCGCTGCCACCGGAGTTTGATAACGATGTGTCCTCAGTTCTTTTAGCAGCTCTCAGAAGAAGGAACACCAAAGGAAAAGAAATCAAAGAAAATAACCCTAACCCCATGCTGAAGAAACAATACATATACTATGTTATTCGGATTGGGGTGTAACTAGTGAACAAAGTTATGCATCTCGCACGATCTTAATGTTTTTAAGTGTCTTTTGTGTTTAAAGAATGTTCGAAGGTAATTATTCAAATCAGATTTGAGGTGTTACACATAAAATAACATTGTTATATACAAAGAAATAGCGTGATCTGCAAACAAGAAAGTCCTACTTTTCTATTCATTTTGATCCTGTTATTGTGAAGGATCGTTTTCTGTCTGGTTCAAGTTCAACATAAGTCATTCATTTTTTTTCTTTATTAGTATTAATTTGTTTGGGTGCTTTGTTAAAGCAGCGTTCTCTGATATTAACTCAATAATTAAAATATATTAATTTAATTTGTATCTAGATTTTTTAATAGCGGAATAATTAAAATATATTATATGTTTATTATCATTTTTAGCCATTGACAACACACACACCTTACATATATAGTTGCTCGACATGATTACTATTACACGTATGATTTATGTTGTATTTTAAGTATATAATCATTGAATTAATTCACGTAAATGTCTTCTGCCTATGTCATTTTTTTAACAGTATACGATGATTATAAGATAATATATGTTAAATTTTTTTTTTAACTATTGACAGCACAAACCCTATAGACGTAATTGCTTGAATATAAGACTTCAAGAGAAGAAAATACTTCATTTAACCACTGAAGTCACTCAATTATTCTTGCAAATGAAAATCTAAATATAAAGGTTTCAAGTTAATTAGATGATATCCTATAGTATACCGATTACCGAAGAAGAAAATGTTGAGTATTAAATTAAGATAAGATGTCATACTAAATGAGTATATAAGCTTAGATATATAAATATAAAGACGTACAGCAGCTTTAAACATTCTCAGTCTGGTGTTATATGGTAGAACTAACGCAGGCTATATAGAGTATAGCCGTCAGCTTTCTCTGCCCTCTTATGTTTTTCGTTTGCATCCCTCTCTCTCTCTCATTTCAGTACTTAAACCTCCCATATGGTTATCCAATTTCAAAGAGTTCTTTTTACTATATATATATGTTTTAAAAATTAAAGCCGAAGGCAAGAGTGTCATATATCCATGTCTCTCACCGGTGCGATCCCGAGATATATTCGAGAGAAAGGTACGGGACTGAAGGGTTGACATAGATCCTCTGCATGCAGGGCTTTGAAAGATTCATCAGGCAGAGAAACAGTGCTTTCAGATTTGTATTACAATACGTATGTGGGTGAACTTTCTACGGTAATAGCTTTACGCTCAGAATCTTGTTGAAGAAAGTGCCAAAACAATGATTTCCTTCTTTAAAGCTTGTCCAGGTTAATCAACGAGAGCACCTAACCATTCTGGACAAGACGATAGCTAGTCCAAAACAATGTCTTTCGAGTTTCAAGGGAACTACAGAATAGGTTCAACCTGCAAGCTAAATGTTGTATAAATTCATGCCAGAATTTTGACTCGGGAAAGGACAGGGACAAAGTTTGAACTACCATTTCATGGTTTAAATGCACTAGAGTGTGGCTCAACATGCACTTGTATCTTTCTCTATCAGATTTTTTTCTATTCTGGTCCCGGATAGTCACATTAGATCATGATTCTGATTTCAAATTGATTTCTTTTTACCAATTAAACATTAATATCCTTCCCCAAATTAACTCTGAGACAAAATTTGTAACACTCCCATACTCAGCTTCAGTTCTTGAACGTGAGACCACTACCTACTTTTTAAAGAATCATACAACTGGGCTTGAGTAAAAAAAAAATACAGTAATCTCTTGTTGACCTTCTATTATCTACAACAAAAATACCCAATCAACATCAACGTAATAAGCAAAACTTAATACTTCAGTTGACTGGATAAACAAACCATAGTCAAGAGTACCACATAGGTATCTTACCATGTCCTTGACAACTTTTCAATGGATAGCATGAGAGTCATTCATATATTGACTGACCTTGTTCACTGTATATATAATACCAAGTCTCATAAGACATACATATTGAAGTTCACCTGCTATACTTCAATAGAGATGGTCATCTTTAAATACCTATCTATAATCAATTTTGAATTTAGATACTACTATCATAGGTGTCGGTGTATACTTTGACCTAACTATATTTTCTTTAACTAACAAATCACTAATGTATCTTTTTGAAGAAAGAGGAGCTTAACTCAAAACAGAGAACTTAGAGCAATGAAAATTAGAAGACAAATCATATAACTACAGAATAGAACTAATAAGAGATGTATATGGTAAAATATATTTAGTAGTAATCATAATAAGTGAGTTAAAGATCAGAAGATAAATCACATGTTTACAAAATAAAATTAAAAAGAGATGGATATAATGAACAATATTTAACATTAATCACAATGAGTAGATTTGAAGATCAGAGTTCAATGCAACAACATTAACTAGATTGAATAAGGTGTTATATGTGTGACTTGTAATTTTACATGCCTATAAGTTAGAATATCAACAAGCGTTGATTAAAATTGGTAGCCATCAAAGAATTCAAGTTCAACTTTGTTACTACCAAAGATTAAAAGATGACAACCATTTTAAAAAAATGGATGCAAGATTAAATGTATCAAAAGTTCAAGTTGACAAGTGGTTACGATGGACACTAAATGTTACAAGTTGATTCAAGTTGACAAATTGGCAAGTAGCCGACTTTTGCACATGGGAAAATTTATATTTGGTCCCCGAACTATTAGGTTATTTATAAGTTTAGTTATTGAAACTCAACTATAAATAAGCCTAAACACTTTCATTTGAAATCATCCCAAAAATTATCTCTAACGTTTTTTTCTCTATTCTCCCACTTTGCAATATTTTGGGAATTCTAAGGAATTTCATTTGTTGTAATATTTTGTTAATAGTGAAATTATCATCCATTTTGTGGTGTCCGAGGAGTAGACGAT